ACATAAATGAAGCTTCTTGTGTGTCCTTTGGATAAAGTGTCATGTGGCCTAATTTCTACTTCTTAATGTGGTTTGAGGATAAAATGGATAACCGCCATCATGAGTTCATAGGAAGAGAAATTAATACAGATATGAAAAATAATGCAAGTTTTTAGTTCAGTGCTTCCCCAAAATATTTTTGTTATTTTGTTTGCTCCCCCAGCTTTCATTCACAATATATTTGTATGTAATTACTAAAATTCTGTTGCACTGCTGTGCATACACAGTGAGAGGATGATATCATCATCGCCAGCAAATCACCACCATTGATTAAAAGCAAATTGTCATAAAGATGATTTCAAGGTGTACACAGTTTATACACTGTGCTGTAAAGTTGTGTGCACTCTGAAATCACCGAAGAGAGTCAATCAGCAGTAATTTGCTACTGATGACATCATCACAGTTGTGCATGGAGAACTGTGGAACAGGATTTTAGACAGCGCATATAGTAAAATCCTTGTGCCTCTGAATCTATGCCACTTCTTTGCTTTCCCAAACTAATTTTCTGGAATTGGTTGCCACTGGTGAAAATTATCTGAATAGATAGAGGTTGTTGTTGTTTTATTCCTAGCTATCCACTTGTTTCCTAGTGAATTCTTCAATTGGCAAGTCAAGACATTCTGTGTACTAGGCGGTACAGTCTGAGAGCTCTTAGTGGGGTCTGAAACCCACCCTAAGGAAAGCTGTAACTGTATCCCTGAAACTCTTGATATATACCACCGGACTTCCTAAGAAGTGAGCATACACCCTCCTCCACTCCAGGTGTGAGATTATAGTTCAGGTTTGTCTTGGGCTCAAGAGGCATGAGACCTCTTAACTCCCAAGCATCTCATGATTAATTAATTTGTGGCCGAGAATGAGCTGAATTTTGTTGCCAGGTTATTTTATTGTGGCTGTTTCTGTTGACCTAAAAGTAAAGAAGAAATACATAATCATTCTTTCCCTTCAGGTCAACAGAAAGCTATCTCTGGCTCGAATCTGAAGATGAGGGAGGATATTCCTGTCTCTTCCCTCATCCTGGGCATGTTTTTTTTAATGAGAGGAGACTGTGTGTTTCCATGCCATTCTGACCAGCTCTGTTCAGATCCTACGGAGGATGTCCATCACTCTTAAAATTCCTCTCTTACCTTGCTTGATTGACTCCACCCCATTTTCTGTCATTCCCTTTAGGGCAGTGGTCCCCAACCGTGGGCCTCCAGATGTTCTTGGACTTCAACTCCCAGAAGTACTGGCCAGCAGGGGTGGCGGTGAAGGCTTCTGGGAACTGCAGTTTAAAAACATCTGGAGGCCCAAGGTTGGGGACCACTGCTTTAGGGAACTCTGGACATCTTCTCCAGAAAACCAAAAAGGCATTTAATTCTGAGCATTTAATAGGGTAAGGAATATGATGCTGTTATCTAATTCATTGTCCCAAAACGTTATTAGATGAAGATCCAGAGCATTTAATAGGGTCAGGAATATGATGCTGTTATCTAATTCATTGTCCCAAAACGTTATTAGATCAAGATCCAGAAGTGCAGTCTGATCTGAAACTGGCAAATTTGATATTGGGTAATAAGGAAAGAGGTTGAAAATAAAACTCACTGTCATCATGCTCATATGCAAATGTATGCTGTAACCACATTTGAAATACTATGTATATTTTGCTGCACATCAAACAAGTTGATATTATTTTAGAGCTGAAACAGCTCACATCAGAAAATCTTACAATCTCTGTGGCTTTTGTAGCCTTGAAGAATAGTGAATAATTAAACACATAATGGAAATGTATATACATACATATGAGATGAAGAAAATGGATAGGGAAGAATTATAATACTGGAAGCTTTGTCATCCAATGATGGAAAATTGGAGTTCATGAACATAATTGCCATGAAATCTCTGCATAGAAAATTATAAGATTCTGAATGATGGCTGGCAAACTGAATAAGGAAAAATTCCTCTGGATTGCTTTTGAATCCAGTGAACCCTTTGCTATGTGAAAATAAGATTCAAGTGTCTTTTAAAAATAGTTTTTTAAAAAATAAAAATAGCTTGGTTGCCAGAGATAATGTTAGTTGTAGTAGGTAAGCCAGGAGAGTGCAAGGAGGTACTTGAGAGCTGTTTCTGTTCTTTCTCTACGTAATATCTCTTGGCAGGACCACACTACTCTGTATAGGTAAAAATGCTGAGTATGACTTGATAGATTCCTAGTTTGGTTAGCTTTCTTGGATCCTGACTGTGCTGTCGGGTGAAATGAGTATTTTTATGCAGAGTGTCAGACAGGGAACCACATTGTTATCATTGGCTTATGCCTAGAGGCATCGTACATTGCTTGCATATGTTGCTTCCCTCTGGGAAATCCTCATATGAGAGAAACTGATCTTGCCCAAACACAAAAGGCAAGATCAGTTTCTCTCATATGAGGATTTCCCAGAGGGAATCATAAACATTGATCAAGCTGTTTTAAAATCACAGTATTTGCTTTCCAGTCAGTTCTTCTGTTTCAGTTATTTCCCTTTCTTTCATTTATTTTATGTCATGCGTTCCAGCCAATATACAGTAAATCCCTTTTATTTTCTATTATCCTGTTCCCTTTACCTGGAATGATTTTCCCCATCTACCTATAAAGCCTACTTCCTTCCATTTGTCAACCCCTTTTTGCTAAAGCCCCTCTTATAAAAATACATTGATGTGCCTAGTAATGCTGTTTAAAGTATTTCATAGTAGTGTTGACAACTGCTGGAGCCATACTAATTGCTGCTATTGGGAGTTAGACCAGGATGATTATGGTAATTATTCTATTACACACCATTTCTTTCAAGATAATGATGGTAGTTTCTTGGATTTTACACTGTGGTTGATGAGCAATGTCGGACACGACTGGACAAAATTGTCAAGGGGAACCTTTACCTTTTCACTCGTTTTCATCCAGTTAATTTGAGTAGCTATCAAACATCCTTCACTTTATCTCAGTATGTAATTTGTCTCTAGGTTGTGAGTATACCTCTTGAATCATAAAATAATGTGTCATAAAGTAGTGCAGTTGTGTATTTGTGAACTTATGACAACCATATTTATCTGTGCGGTGATGCTGATGGGGTGTTTTCTCTTTACCATTGAAATGTAATTTGTCATAAAGATTGATTGATTGATTGATTGATTGATTGATTGATTGATTGATTTATCTATTTATTTATTTATTTATTTATTTATTTATTTATTTATTTATTTATTTATTTATTTATTTAACTTATATGCCGCCCACACTACCCGAAGGTACCATAAGGCTAGTTTGGAGGAAAGACACATGTATTCTGTTATTCAGTGACTGAAATCCTGGTGCTTTAATTTAACGCTGTGTGAGTCTAGCGATGCCATCCGCCACAGTGGTTTTTTAGAAATTAAAAATATCCAGTTATCTCCTCCAAAGGCTCCAGAGCTGCCATGGGATCTGTAGCAGGCCCCTCTCAAGCCTTTACCCATCCAGGCCTCTAAGAGTGCTCACTACCTTTCACCAAAACTGCTGCCACCAACCTATCCTTAAAATCAAAAGGACAAGTGTTTCTTCCAAACAAATAAAATTTTTTATTGATTACATAAAAATAAAAAGGGTGAATCACTGTTATAAAATCAAGTTGTCAATCACTGTTTATAAGACACTAGCTCACACAGACTTTTTCCCTCACTGACAGGCTCTTTCTCACTCTATCAATCTCTCTAATCACTCATCTCTCAAACTGATCTCCTCTCACACATCACACACACCTTATATAACCCAGCTCCTCCCACCTCTGCACCACCTGCCATCCTCTCATTGGCTGAGGCTCCCCTGCCCGACTATGACGGACAGGTGAGAGCAGAGCTGAACGCCACAGGATCCCTTTTATTGTAGGGAAGCTTTTGGGAGCTGTGGAACAGGGGAAGTCTTGCATTTCTGAAAGTGGGGAGATTTTACAAGTGGCAGCAATGATTTTTGAAAATTAAAGACTCCTTCCCCATCTCACGGCCCGTAAAAGCTTCTCTGTGACAGAAGGGATCTTTAAGGGAGCCTCTGAACCTTCAGGAGAGGCCACTCTGCCTATTCTGAGCATGTCACATATAACATAGCACTTAGCTAAAGAATTAAACATTGGGTTAAGTCTTTGGATTAATTAGCCAAATAAATATTTTAGAGAATAGATAGAAAGCCAAATATTTATTTGTTGTGGCACTTTGAAGCCTCTGTGAACAGAGAAATATGTCAAGATATTTGGATAACAATTAAATGTCAACAGTGGTGCTAATTCCCCTTACATTATCCTATACTAAGGCTATAAGAGGGGAATGGACATACTGTATATGACAGAGTGGAATGGAGAATATTTTATTATAATATAATAATCTTTGAACTGCAGCTGGAAGGAACCCTATGGATTATCAAGTCCAGCCCCTCTCAAGGAGGCACAGTGAGGAATTGAACTCTCAGCCTCCTGCTCTACAGCCAGACGCCTAAAGCACTGAGCTATCCAGCAGTTCTTGGGTATCCAGAATTTGAATACTGGAGATGAGTAAAAGTCTGATCAAGTATAGCCATTTATGTAAGCAGTGATTTGGAACTTAAGAGAATTCTCCAGATGAAGAAGAAATAACTCATGTGTACTTTTTGTTATTTTTGCATACGGGTCCACTGAGAGCTCAGGTGAGGTCTGGGCCATTTCACATTGTGACCCTTTCTCATGGTTTGGGAAGAGGGATAAAAAAATATTTTAATGTAAAGAATGCTAAAAGTTTCTCAAGTGGAGGAAAACACACCCTTAACTGAGGCTCCCCATGAGGTAAGGTTTGAGTCAGTCTTGCTTTGGTTTTCTGTCGTGGAGCCTGTCTGTATATCATGATATACGATGAAACAGAATGTAATGAAACAGAATAGTAGAACAGAGTATTACAAAAGATCTAATTTTGCTGTTTCATTCCTTTTCTCCTATAATTCTCTCTCATAGAAAGTAAACCAAAAGGTCTTCAGTGGGTGATAGATACAACGGTTGCCTATCCCAAAGCTGAACCCATAGACATCCAGACTTGGATTCTCGGCTATAGACGACCAACAGTTACCCATGTACATTACAGGTAGGAAAGAAAATACCTTAAATTACTTTAAATTAAAGCCTATAAAATGGAAATAAAATGCTACTAATCTGAAATAAAATACTTTGATCACTTCACTTTTAAAAACCATATTTTCCTTGTAATATGAGTATTTGTAAAAAGCAGTGGCCAATATTTTCCAGCTCAGTAAACCAGTGGCAAAATCTGTGGCGAATCCAAATCAGGAACAGACTTTGAATTCAAAGTAGTACTCCAGTTATGCTCGAATTCATCGTTTAAGATCTGGAGGAGGTTGTCCTGCCTTGGTTAAGGATTGGCCATGAAGTCCCTACTTGCCATCTCTCTCTCTCTCACTCACTCTCTCACTCTCTCTCTCGCTCTCTCTCTCTCTCTCTTTCACATTCCGAATCAAGCTTCAATTCTGGATTACAGTGCTGACCTGAAATCCTTGCTGGGGTTCCTAGGCTCCATTGACCCTGTATTTAAAGGGGATTGGTGTTGATGGAACTGTTCATTCACATGTGCAAAAAGATAGGTATGGGCAGATAATGTTCTGAGTGCCACTGTGCCTTATCTAGTGACCTAGCTTAGCAGGACTATGGTAATTTTTCTGATGTCTTCAAATTAAATCTTATTATAACATGCTTCATATAGAGCTGCCCTAGTAGTGTTACCCAATGCAAAATATTGCAGCTGAATGTGGACTAGAACAAAGCAGATTGAACAAATGTTTGATGGAACAATGTCAGTTATTTCTAAACTCAATTCAAAGCTCTGGTTTTGATAGATCCCATAGTCCTAAACCATGTGACAAAACAATGGTTTCTTGAAGTAGGAACTCTTAGTGACACCCATCCTGTGGGACACAGTCCCAGGTGGAACCTATCACATCCTGTTGTATTCTTTCAGATTTTTCACTAAAACCTTGTATCTGGCATCCATTATTTCTAAATTTTTAGTCTGATAAATATTATTATTCCTTTACTGTTTTTTGTAGGGATGGGGTTTTCAGATTTACAATCCTGTAGCAATTTTCTTTCTTTCTTTTTCTTTTTTCTTTTTTTAAGGCTTCCCTCACAAAGGCTTCCCAAGGACAAAAAATGCTTCTAGCACAAAGTTACGCAACTCGATTTTGCCCAGTGTTTAATATATGTGTGCTTATAATTGCATTTGTGAATCCAGGAGAAAACTAGGTTCACTCAGTAGTATGAATGACAACCAAGCAGAGGACATGCCAGAGGGGAAAGTATATATATTTTAGTAGAATTTATATCTTGAGCTTCTTAACCCTATCCCAATGCATCCCAATTTCTGTTGAAAAGCTGTGTACTATAAAAGATAGTACACTTGGCTGTAGCTTTTGCCTTCGTCATTACCTATAAAGTTACCTGATAACTTTACAGTTTAATGAACTATTGTTTAATTAGCGCTTAAAAATCTCCAAAAGGTGATGAAAACATAACAGCAAAAAAGGGCAAATGCAAGGTACAATAGTTAACTGAACATGATTTTGAGAAATGTTTACTTCCGACTGCCTTTTGAATGCTAACCTCAGCTAGCTATTTTGTGCCTTTAACCAGAAGTCCAGTGCACAGCAGCCTTACATAAGAGAAGCCAAAAGGCATTTACTTGGGAGAGTTCACTAATGAGAATGGAGAGCAGCTACTTTTGTAACCCTTCAACAACTTCCAGGCATGTTGAGACTAAAATGTCATTGCAAGGTCCTGGGGAAAAGGAGGCAGCAATGATGTAAATAGAAATTAGTTGTTGAAATAAGTAAGATTACACAACATGTGTGGGAATATTCTCATTCAGTAGATCATTTCTTTGTCATCTTGCAGCTACTGTCCTCTGACCAACCATCTGTCCTATTAAGACAATGTGTAAAGAAGGTTTGGATCTATATGTGGTGTTTCTTTAAGAATTTAAAAAAAGAAAAATCGATGTGTCACATTCCCACCTGCCCCTTGGTTGTTTCACCAAACAAAGGCACAAGCTACATGTCGTTCAACTGCCACCAGTTGATTACATCAACATGATTCACTATTAAAGACAGTGGTCCAGTCAATGTATCATTTAAAAATCAAGTAGAAATTGTTTATTGTTACCTGAAGTAAAAGTTCAGTCAGTTTTGTTAACTCTCAGCTAAAACAACATTCCTTTCTATTCTCTACCGCCTCCTCAAACTCTCTCTCAACTCCAAACTCCCCAAACTCAAACTCCCTCTCTCCTCTTCTAATCCCCCTCATTTTTCTTCTCATCTCCTTATCTGCACCTCCCACCAACTCCCATCGGTGCATGCAAATATCAACATGAATATTAATGAACAGGGTGAACGCTACATGATGCAGTACTGTATGTACAGAATGACGAAGGCAAAAGGTTCAGCACTACAAAGTGACAACACAAAGGGGTGCATTTCCCTTCCACTTGGCTTTGATGACTGATTTCGCCTGTTGTGGCAGAAAGGCTGTTGCAGCAGCATTGGGGAAAAGTCCTGCTTAGTGCAAAAGTGCCCCCGAATGGTCAAGAAAATAAATGAGTATTGAGAATCTGGAAAAGGTACTTGGTATTTAATGCTACAGTTTCCAGGAGGTAAGTGGCAGGCACTTGGTAAATCAGAGTTGGAATTCTGTGCTGGAATTCTAGCACATGAGTAAACATGGACACAATGCATATACTGATTATGCTGTTGAGCATGTTGCTGTTTTCTTACCTGTTTCTACTTTCTAGCTGCTTTGAGAAAAATGTCTATAATGTGAAGTTTCATGTTGTCTGATTCTAGATGGTTCTGCCATTTCCAGTGAGGGCCTAACTTAAGTATATGTATCTGACTAAGAGACCCAAAGGCCATAAGCTGAGTCCTTGTTAATTAACTAACTGTCTTCGCTTACATTCACTTGGGAATGAACACTTTTTCACTAAGTAGCTTGGCTCATCTACTTAGTGAAAAAAAATGACACCTCAGGATGAGATTGGCTCATTAAATTTGCCTTGGCTGCAGAGGGTTATAGGTGAAAGATGAGGCACAGAACCTGCTCATTGTCTCATAGTTTTGATTCATTGTTGTCTCAGTTCTCTCATGTTTCTCTACTTTGTGTTAACTTTGGTTCTGGGTTCGCTTTGCTTGATTCTCGTACTTCAGTATCCAGATAAAGGCATCCAGTTGTTCTTGGTTATTTTATTTATGTAGATCCATCTCTGCACTAATATTTTATTTTATTTATATGCCGCCCACTCTACCCAGAAGTCTCTGGGCAGCTTACAACAATTAAAATTCAATTAAGATACAATAAAAGATAAAATGATTAAAATACAATTAAAATTGCCATCAGGACCCACAGTTGATGTTACTTCAATTAAAAGCCTTCTGGAACAGGAAAGTTTTGATCTGGCACCGAAATGTCATCAACGTCGGCGCCAGACGAATTTCAGTCGGGAGGGCATTCCATAGTCTGGGGGCAGCTGCCGAAAAGACCCAATATAAACCTACTGCTCTAGAAACACTTTGTGTGCTGGTTATTCTAATAAATATCAATTTAAAAAATCCAGTACCTTGCTGATCTCTTGGCTTAGTGTAACTGTGTAAAAGTTTTGGCTGAGACAGTGGGAACAATAAAAGCAGTTTGCCTCCTTTGATCTCAGGGATGTCCTATAAGATCTGAAAGTCCCAGGTCAGTTGTTTGGTAGGTAAATGAGTAGAACTGGAGTCAAATGATTCTGGGTTATTTCAGATATGTATTTGAAGTATACTGTAGGAATATTTGGAAGAGTGTAGCTATATTAATCCAAAAACAACAATCCTGTGGCATCTTGAAAACTAACATTTCATTCAGAATAAGCTTTCAAGGAATGCAGCCTGCTTCAGATATATGCGTGTTCATTTTGAGACCCCTGCAGTAAAGTGGGCCACAACCCATAAAACCAAGGCCAAGTAAAACACACCAGATAAGAAAGCTGTTCACCCACGTCTAGGCAAATACAAAGCAGAACTTGCATTAAGAGACTTCTGGGTTGTTTTCTGACCCCATGGGAATATTTCCATATACGCAAAGCATAACAAATGCACCATTTCTGGCTTTACAACCAGAGTATTCCAGGGAACCTGTATTCATGTGAACTCAAACATCTACTTTAAATAGTTGTCAGATCTTCTTGTGCATTCCCCAATAGAATTTCTGAGTCTTAAACATACTGTTAATGTTGTTTCCAATTCAAAGCAATAAAACTTTGTTTTGTCAGGAAACAAACATAAGCTGTGTAGGACAAGTGATGTTATTTTCTATTTCCAGGAAGACTTAGTGTTAATGTTACCATGAAACAAGTTTCTGCCGAAAACAAAATTGTCTCTGCTGAGGGAAATGTCCCTCAGTGGCCATTTTACGGACAAGCAGAGCAAATTACTTTGGCGCTGCAAGGCATGTTCTGGTTTAGACCTCTTCAGGTTATCGTATCAAAAATGTGTATCTTGTAGATCTAGATTAGGGTGGCTTCTGCAGCAAAATAGACCTCATGAAATACTAAAATGTTCCATCTGCCTCAATGAGGGTTAATTTGTCAGAAGACTTGTTTTTATTGGGATATGTACTAAAACCTTGATAGTTAAAAAAAAAAAATCTCTTCTCACCTTAACCGTCATTGAAGCAGATGAGACATTTTAGTTCCCCAGGTGTACTGTTCTGTTCTGGAAGTCAACCAGAATTAGATTGACAAGGTAAAAGCAATCTGCTGCAGTTATATGCCAGGTAGCTCAGAGGTTCAGGCATCTGGCTGCAGAGCCAGGGGTTGGGAGTTTGATTCCCCCACTGTGTCTCCTTAACAGGAGATGGATTTAATCATCTATATGGTCCCTTCCAGCTCTGCAGTTCTGAGATGATGATGATGATGATGATGATGATTATATTCAATACAACTGTTGTTGTTGTTGTTATCATTATCATTATTATTATAAATGTTTTATTACAGTCATTGACCAGCAAAAATAAACAACATTATTTAAATTAGGAAACATAAAATAAATCTAAAAACACCTATATACACACACATATATAAAACTACATTCATACATATTATTAGATACCTCCTGTGTCCCTATTATAGGGTTTTTCTATGGCTATTGTAGCTTGCATAGAATGACAGAATTGTTACTTTGAAGCTCATAGAGCCCGTGTGATCATTAAGGTCTCTACATGTATATACCAATTTACAGATACAGTGGGGTCTCGACTTACGAATGTCCCTACTTAGGAAAATTTCGAGTTACGAAAAGCTCTGACTGCAAAATTTTGCTTCAACTTGTGGCCAGAGCTTCCAGTTACGAACAGAAAAAAGGTGGGGAATTCAAACTGTTGGTGGCAAAGAGGCTGCTTCTTTGCCCCAGCGGTTAGGAAAAGGGAGGCTCAGCCTCCTGGGCTTCCAACACTGCCCCGACTGCCCTGCTGGGTTCCAGTGCTTTGGAAGCCCAGGAAGCCAGCACCCATCATGGAGGTTGGAGCAGCTTTTGGCTTCCCGGGCTTCCAAAGCTGCCCCTGCTGCCCTCTGCCTTCTGTCCCCACTGGGACGGAAGACAGAGGGCAACGCGGACGGGAGGCAGAGGGCAGCAGAGGGGGTTTGGACACCTGGGAAGCCAGCACTCGGCGCAGAGGTCAGGGCAGCTTTCGGCTTCCCGGGCTTCCAAAGCTGCCCCTGCTGCCCTCTGCCTCCTGTCCCCGTGGGGACGGGAGGCAGAGGGCAGCGGGTGCAGCTTTGGAAGCCCGGGAAGCCGAAAGCTGCCCTGACCTCTGCGCCGAGTGCTGGCTTCCCAGGTGTCCAAACCCCCTCTGCTGCCCTCTGCCTTCTGTCCCCACTGGGACGGAAGACAGAGGGCAACGCGGACGGGAGGCAGAGGGCAGCGGGTGCAGCTTTGGACGCCCAGGATTTTTTTTCTTTGGCCGGAACAAATTAATTGATTTTCAATGCATTCCTATGGGAAATGGTGCTTCGACTTATGAATTTTTTTTGTTACGGCTACCGGTCCAATACGGATTAATTTCATTAGTCGAGGCACCACTGTACTATAGCTGCACTTTGGGTGGAACCTTTCCTTCATGGATTTTGATTGCAGCAGCAGAGAATTTAGCTACTTTTGTCAGCATATCTGAATTTTGGTTTAGCCCAGTATATCTGCACCTCCCTGTCAGCAAAAGCAGTGTGTAATGTGCCTCTGATCGTTCAATTGGTTGAAAGGTTAGTTTTAGCCATAATCGGGGAATAGCCAGCCAAGCTTTGGCTTCAACGTTCAGGTAGGCCACTTCCTTAAGTTCAGACTTCTTACTGAATTTCAGCCTTTGAGTACACCTGTTTTTGAAAGAATGTTGCGGGGGGTGGAGGGATTAAACAGAAAAAAAATGTTCTTGAGTAATATTTGGTTCTTCTAAAACTGAAACAAATACTACGGCAATATATATGCTAGATCCAGATCCAGTTTTCAAAATGGAAAGAAACTTATTAGATTCACTTTAAAAATGATGAATTATTTAATACATCTAATTAACAGTTCTGTTCTTCTTTAAAATGTAGGATTTTTCCAATTAAAGATGTACCTGTTGAGCCCGAAGCCCTCACTGTCTGGTTATATCAGCGGTTCATTGAAAAAGAGGATCTCTTGTCACACTTTTACAAAACAGGTAAAATATTTTCTAAATGAACAGTAATGTCTCCCCCCCCCGCTGTCACCGCCAAAGTTCCTCGTATTGCAAGCATAACACAGCTGTGTGCTCCATTCCTCTGATCTTTGCCAGCAAAGTACAGTTATCACACTGTGAAAGAATGGCTTCATATTTAGGCACAGTCATCTGACTCAGCTTTGTGTTTGTGTGTGTGTGTGTGTGTTCTCTTTCTTCACACCACTATCACCAGCTAATGTTTTTTCAACATGTTTATTAGCAGTACTATCCTTTTTCCAATTGTCAGTTAGCTAGAACAGTAATTCCCAGCCTTTTTCAAATCGTGGTCCCTTTTATAATACGCAAGTAGCCTGTAAACTCCCCCCTCCATGTTTACATAAAAAGGCATTTTTAATGAGATAAAATTATCCCTTCTCAGAAAGTGGAGGCTTCTTTCTCCCCGCAAAGGACCTGTTTCTCATACATACAGATACACGCTAATATCCTGCTCTGAAAGGTCAAGAAATTATTTAACAAGGGTTAGAACACATATAAGCTGACCTGCAACCTCCTCAGAAGGAACTTTTTGACCTCCCCCTTGGGCATCACAACCCCCAGATTGAGAAGCACTGAGCTAGAATATCCAGGTAGTCAAATGTCTCATGTTTCTAATATCAAATAATATTAATTTATCTGGTCCAATTCCTTTGTATAAATAATAAAAGTAATAGCCTGTCTTTTTCAGAGATTTCGGGACTCCTTATCAGGTACCACAAAACAGGCTTATAATACAATAGTAACACAAGGCCTTGTGAGACTGTTTTTTTAATGTTTTTAATTTATTTAAGAATAAAAAGACTGTTAAAGACTCAGCCATCATCAGGGCTCACAGAACATGTTTCTCAAAACATAAACTATTAGTTATATACCTAGTATTTCTCCAGGTACAGTATGTCTACACAGAGGTGAGCCATGTGAGATGTATGAGAATTATCTTGGAGGAGCAAATAGGACTACAACCTTAAAGTGTTTTCTAGTCTCTGTCCTGCTGATGATTGGTATGTGTGCCGGACAGAAGTAGAGTTTTAAATGTGTTTGAATTAGCATATGCAAATGGATTTTCTTGAGTAATTTTTTTTTTTAATCGGGGAAAGGCATTGAGGGTTTGGAGGTGGGTGCTGCCCTCCCGCCAAGGTTCATGTGTGGGCTTGCACAGTCGCTGGACTTCTGCAAGTCACCCAGATAGTAAATGATAAAGAGGGCTACAAAAGGGTTGGTGAGGCGTTCAAGTAATGCAAAACTTGAAGTGGAACATGGTCATATGAATTCAGAGTGTGAAAAGTTGCCTTTTGGGGGGCTAGAGCTTACAGGGAAGGGTAATGTGGGAAGCATTGACATTTAAAGGGAGTGAAATATAGCTTGTGAAAAGTGGTAATACTTAACATGGACAGAGATTCTTCAGTGATCATTGAAATATATTAAAATTCATATTCCCAGCTTCTGTTCCACCTTAAATAATTTGCAGACCCTTCTTTGATATCTTACCAAATTTGCTCTAGGAAACTAAAGTGGTAACAGAGAAAGTGATTTCTTCATGCAGGGCAATCTGATTTATAATCAGTAAAGGAACAGACATATTTCTAGTTCTCTTTCCCAGTCTGTTGCTCTTATATTTGAACTCTGTAATGTTGTTTTCGATATATCTGATGTAATGAACAAAGGCTGATAATGTGTTTGAGGAAGCAATTTGCAAATCCAAATATCAGCCAGTGTGTGGAAGAACACCTGGATTTGTTCTGTTTCAGCTACTTTGAGAGAACATGGGCTTAAAATAATTAATAGGTGGTATATGACCCCTCTGAAACTAGGTTGTTTTGGTAATGGTGTTGCTTCTGGGTGTTGGAGGTAGACTGTACATGCAATTATGGTGGTATCACCCTAAAATCCACTCCTTTGGGGTCCTAGTATTCTCAGAAATTGAAATTATAACTGACACTAGCACTGGCTTACAGTTATTTAAGGTCTCCAATTCAGCACTAAACATGTTAGCAGTTGCTGTTAATTGGAAGTCAGGAGATCAATTGACAGTTTCTCTTTGTTTGTTTGTTTGTTTATTAGCTTTTTGCCCCGCCCCTCTAGACAATGTCTACTTGGGGCGGCTTACATAGATAAAAACAAGACAATATGGCATGTATAAAATCATAAAAATTACAATTATAACAATTAATTTAAAGAAAACATTGCCAAGATGGCATGACTCAAAACGAAAGAGAAATAAGAATCACTTAATTGACTGGAGGGAAGGCCTGCTTGAATAGTCAAGTTTTTAGCTGGCTTTTGAAAAGACCCAGCAAGGGTGCCAGCCGAATTTTGGTTGGGAGGGTGTTCCACAGCCGAGGGGCCAACGCCGAGAAGGCCCAGTTTCTTGTTTTTTTCCTTCCGGGCCTCCCTCAGCGTTAGGCCCCTCAGCTGTCCCTGCTGGCTATGTTGGGTGATTCGGGTAGATCTATGTGGTTATTAAGAATTTGGCAGTTAGAGTAAAGGGAAAAATTAATTGTTCATGTTTGCTCCTTAAGATCTATGCAAACCTATAGTGTCGTACCTGGTTTCCTTTTATTTTGCATGCATCTTTGTTGGATTATCCTGTGCCTCCAGCAATGACAGATCCTTTGCAATAATATATTAAAGAGAGCACTTAGATCAATAATTTTTAGAATCTTGCACCTTATGGTCATGGGTTTATTTTCTTAATACACGAATATACATGAATGTGCCTTTTCATATACGCATAATTATCTGTTTATATTAAATGTCTAGGTTTTATTTAAATCCAAGTATTGCATCATCCAGATGTGTTTTATGTCTGCAATTTGTTTACTTGGTTATTTTTATAATACTGCTGTGTGAAATAATAAAAACCATTGGAATTTTTTAAAAATCATCATTGATGGTTCTATAAACAGTTTATTTTATTAGTTATCAGAAAAGGAGAGCCATCTGAATACTTGTTATAACCATAGTTTGAGAAAACTCCCTGAAGTAATTTGAATGTGCAACTAAAATATTGTTATTTCTCTTTCAGGAGCGTTCCCTCCCCTTCAGGGACAGACAGAAGTTATTTCCCGGGAAATGACCCTTAGCAATTTGTGGCTAGTTCTTGTACAGTGCTTTGCATTTCTGTCAGGTGGTATGTGGTACTGTGTTCTTCAGTATTTTTATCAATGCCTATTTTAAAAGGTGAATGGATGGCACCTGAATACATGATGAGAAACTTGATACTTTACAGAATGCATCACGTTATATGTGCAAATGTGAATATACAAGGTGAAAGGAGTATACTGGATAGACTTTCTTCCCTTTTGGGGGATTTTAAACTCTGGTAGAAGAGAGGATCAGTAATATAGTGACCTAATGATGTACTTTAAGAACTCTATATTTTTGGAAAGTATGTCTCCCCACACAACTACATCAGCAAATTCAACATTTGAGCAGGAGATACAATGATACAACCATCACAGGTAACCATCTGTAGCAAGAATGCATTCACGACAGATAGTGTTTGGCATTGTAGTTAAAACGTGGAATCTTCAACAACTTTCTCTTCGGTAGTCTGTACTGCAAGTCTTGTAGTAGAGATCCCTCATCTGCACAAACATGGGTTCTGTTGTAATCAATCAAACTGGATCTGTTTCACATACTCTGCAGACCTGGTTATGATATTGTGACCGCCCCATGTTACTTGTTTAGTAGAGACATTTTTAAAAGTATCTTATCTCAGTGAAATCTTATATTGGAAACCTAGAAAAAGAAAACTATTCTGTGACAATGCATTACAGTGTCATGAAGTATTGAAAGAATTGTGCATACCTCATAGACCCTTCTATTTTTACCATGTTTTCTGTCCTTAAATCTCTAGTGAGTTTTCTCTTGTAAGGGTGGTTCAAAAATGGCATATGACTTACATTTGCTTCCCATTTGGGTTTTGGAAGGCATTTCAAACGGATTAACACACAGAGAGAGGTCTTTCTGAAAAATGCACTTTTGAAAATGCAGTACAGCGATAGCCAGGAACACAGTATGAAAAAAGTATAGGTGTTGTTCCTAATGGATTGGATTATTCAGAGCTATTAGTTTAGAACAGTCTGTGGATTTTCATTTCAAAATTGTGAGTTGCCATGGTCAAGCCAATTTATAGGGGCCTTCATTTCCATTGGATACAACGGCACTTAGAACATCTGTGAGAGGGTTTGTGTACATATTTGCCAAGCACCTCAATGCTTTGCTTATAGGAAAAATAAGGGGAAGTTAGCATAGTCATAGAACAGTATACCTAGTCATTGGGTGAAACAAATAGGAAACTGCTTTACAATCTTGAGCTGTTGCAACAAATCTCTAAACCATGAAGGGCATTACTACGTCTGTCATCTTGCTGAAAAATATCACTGTTATAGAAAGGGAATTCAAGAGGCAGACTGGCACTATAGCAGATTTTTAGTTGATAGCACTATAGTTTTATAATGGTGTTGAAGGAAAGGTTTCGTTGTTTCTTAATTATCACTCTTTGAATGTTTGGTATCATGTCTGTATGACTGGCTACTATATATACGTAAAAGAATCATTCCTAGAAGACGGTTAATAATTTACACATACAGGCCTGTAGACTACATTTTATTGACAATATGTTGTCTTCTATGCCTCTTTTGTTTTGTACAAGCAAAGCCAAGATTAGTTGTCTGCTGAGTTTGGGGTATATGTTTTCCGGGATTTTTACCCCAGATCACATGAGAACCAGTTTTGATGAATAGTATACAAAATAAAAACATAAAGCTACAGGAATATATTTTGCTCTCCTTTTGTTTTCAGAGGGTAAAAAGTCTGGGCGAAGAAGTGGCACCCCCCAATTTATATCCGTAAAATATCATCTAATTAAATATTTTAAGTGTGAAATACATTTCAGCATGGATGTTAGCATCCAGTATCCATTGTGGAAGATTCACTGCTGTAGATCATTGATATAATTACATCACAGATACAGGTTGTATGTCATTCAACCTTGAGTGCAAAATGTCATGTCCAAACCTTTTGTTGTTGTTGACACATGGGTTGTTGAATACTAATATAAAGGGGGGAAATTCCATCTTAATGCAAAAGGATACTATTAAAATTCAGATTTCTTTTATTTTTAAACTGGCTTGCCTTGTTGACTAGGAATTATAGCAAGAAGCATGTTTCATTTACTGCATAGGAGGAAGTTGTTTCACAAGTTTATTTCTGGTCACTTGAAATCTGTGGCTATAAATCAGCTCCTGTCAAATTACAAATCTCTTGGAGTGGGATATAAAGCAGCAGCTGCTATAGTGTTCAGTTTATTTGAATGTATGGTCTGCTTTGTGAATACTAAGTTTGTTCCGAAAACGAAGACTTCAGTATAACTATAGATAGTAAATTTTTTACTTATGTCCTAAAAAGTTAGCCATACATCTGAGTAGCGCTGTTCCCTACAGACATCATTCAGTATGATATAAACTATACTGTAATTCCTGCTTAATGAAACAGCAGTGATAGCCATAGCTGTTAGTGTTACTTGACCACTTACTTCAGTTTGTTTCTGTTCACTTTTTTTAAAAAATCATTTTTAAGGTACAGATAGCTATTTGAATGATTCCAGCTAAATTGGAAGAAATTAATTTTGTCACTCTGTTTTCAAAATTTGTTTTCATTGATTTCAGCATTCATTAATTTCAGTTAGACTCACTTCCATAGAATGTGTTTGCTTGTAAGTTGTGTTCCTTGTGCTCCTCTCTTGTTTCTGACCTGGCATGTGTCTACAAGATTAGGTAATTGTGTCTCTTTTATGGCTGACCAGGAGAAACTGTGAAAATGCTGTTTTTAGGAACTTATAAATAAAAACATCTTGTTGTTCTCAACTTTGAGTATAATTTTCAAATCAGAAGACCAAATCCAGATTATATTCTTAGAAACACAGAAATAAAAAGTAAGTTAGTTAACTTTTCTCCTGCCATGGAGTGAATGTGTATGAAGAGCTGCAATTCTGCAGCTGGCTGGTCTACAGTATAGCATTATACCTTTTGGCAAAACATCAAACTCCTTGGCAATAAACTGACTTCACTTTGGGGGGGGGGGTTGTCAGATATTTAGTAGCTACCAATTAGCCCTACATTCAATGTAGTATTTCTTGGTCAAAGATGATAGACATTGTCCTGGATCCCCTGACTCTTCACAGTTGTTATGGTACTATAAATCTCTGACAAGCTGATCTTGAAAATAGGTTTTGAGTAAAACTCCCAGAATCCACCTGCCAGCATGGCCGGCAGCTATGCTGAATGAGGAATTCAGGGTGCTGTACAGTTGAGGAGGGGAGAGGAAAATTAGGACGTCCTGAAATATAATGAATTGTTTTAACATTCTTTGCATCACCTAATGCCACTTGAATGGTAACATAATACCTTTATTTCTTAATCCAGATAGGCAATGCTGTTTTCCAACTTGCCGTTATTATACATATTTGACCATAAGCATATTGCATATCTCTTACCAATTGCAAGGGATGATGAGTATAAGAACAAGCCTTTTACAGTCATGGTCCAGCAATAATTGAAGACAAGAACGCGGTAGATAATCTGTGTTAAATTATTTTTACTGTGTAGCTCCTTTTTCCATTGAAAAAATACATTGTAGTACCAACTTCTGTCCTTCCTTCAGTCCACTAAATCATTAAAAGAGGGTTGGAGAACACATGTTTTTTCAGATGCTGTTGGACTGCAGATCCTGACTCCTAATGGTGAGGAATCATGGATGTTGCAGTCCATCATCAGAACAACCTCTCAAGAAGATGTTTAAAATATCTGAAGACTGAGTTATTTATGAACAAGAAATTGGTATAGTCTTTAACAATACAGATTTACTGCCATCCAAGTGATGTAAGCCATCATCCAAATCCCGTCCACCTCCCTGAGATTAACCACTTCTTCTCTGTAGGTTTATTTGTAACATTACACCTTGTACTGTTTGAGCAAGCACTTCTCTTGTGGCTGCAAATCTTCAGCATTTTTGACTGTATCAAAACTTCTGCCAGGTTTTAACAGACCTGCTTAAGTCTGTTTTAAAACTACTGTTCAACATGAGTTTTTGTAATTGTTATCATGATCACAAAGTATTGTTGAATTGGACTCCAATTTAAGTTCCATGTTGAGCTATCTGGAAGCCCAGAGAGAGAAAACAGAAGAGAAAGTTAAGAAGAATATTAATGTGTAGAATACATAATAGATAATAGGAGATGTCTGATGTACCACAGTAGCCTGATAAGGTTTGTTCACTTTTAAAGAATGCTACAAATAAGAAATCAGTGTTGCAAGACTGAAGTCTAAACATCCCTTAGTATAAAATTTTCTTTAGAGGTCTAGTGCAGACATGTAGTCCTTTTTATCATTACAACATGAGAATATGCAGATTATTTTTTCAAACTAACCAAAACAGAAACAAAAGCTACTCCAGTATCCTAACAGTAATATTACCATTTTATAAATGGTTTTTATGATGCAGACAAAACACTTAAGATTTTGCATAGCCTGTTTTTGGGAAAGTGCTGGAGATAGACTGAATCTCAGTATGCTTAGATGTTTGCTACTTGTAGTTTCTCATTTATTTCCACAAAGATAAAACAGTTTTTTATAACTTAGTAATTTAAATGTAATTTGTTGGTGAATTTTTTTGAATAAACAAAAGGGGGAGAGATGAAGAATTACCATAATTCTTGAGAAATACAGAATATGAAGTGGTTTGGCTTTGCTAAAAATAAGTTATTTTTGCAAATACAGTATTTCAAATAGATGCTACAGTCCACAGCAGGTCAGTTAGCATAGGAAGGTGAAAATGGGCTCACATGCATGTGTGTGACAAAATCACTCAATAATTGATTACTTATAAATATTAGGGATGCCTTTATGGAAAAGTGCTGCATTTTCAGGTGATATGAAGCATCTTCCTGGTGTTTCAATGAACTGAGCCAGTTCAAAGCAATTTGGGGGAACAGGGAAGACATACGTAATGCATTGGCCTCAACATTGTGCAGTCTGTGGAAATAATCCCGTATATCCTACTGAAATGAGGTATATTTTATATGTTTTACAGAAATGAGTGGTTTTTGCTTTTCAACTTTGCTTGGTTGTTAGTGGCTCAAAGTTTGACCATCTTTATCCTAAATATTCCGGGCACTAGCTCACTCCATCTGCCTGTAGGAAATCATCAGCACCCAGAACAGTTTTGGGCACTCACTAGGCATTATGAATTAGCTCGTGGACAAAATATTACACATTCTTGGGACCAAAGCTTCAGAAAGTTTATCACCTACAGATTAATATGACAGAAATGATTTTGAGTGAGATGCTTGACAATTTGTATTGTTTTTTATTTTCAATCAAATCCACACAATAAAGTCAGGATGATCAGTGTGTATTTGTGGATGATGTTTCCCAGCCCAGCTAGTTGTAAAGGATGCTGGGTTTGTAGTCCAACAGCATTTGAAGGGCCATAAATGTCCAGTCTCTGCAATAAAGAAAATGTGAAGCTGCACATGTAATTACTATACCAGAATAGGAAAAGAGCCAGAAAGAAGTGCAGTTAGTCTTAGTGAAGGAAGGTTGAAAAGGGAAAATTAACACCCTTGAAATAGTTATCAAGACTATTTGTGAATTATTTTCATTTCTTTTGTGCAAAACTTGTATTGCACAGACTCTGTCCATAAAATGCTAAAAACTGTTGAGGTGGTGTTGGTGTTTGGTCTATGCATCTTACTCTTTATATTTCTTAGATTTCCAGTACAACTATGTATTGAAGGACTGTTGTGTTGGAATTAATTTGCTGTATACTATGAAGTTGCTGTTGGGGTTTTAGATGTCGTATTCTTTAATTAGATCTTTCAACTTACCTGTTTTCCTTTCTCTCTCTCCCTTCAGCCACTTTCATTTTATGCAATGTATGAACAGAATTAATGCAGACATCATAATGTGATTCTGTTGAAGGGCTGACCACATTTGGGTTTGTGTTTCTTTCATATTTGTTTGCCCATCAGTATAAATAAATTGTTAACATTCTTGTCCTTAAGAGTTCAAAATGTTTTCCCCTGCCCAGAAAATAAATGGTATCTTTTATTTCATCATTTTTATTTAGTGTTTTCATATTTCTGTGTTCATGTTACAATTATAAATTCAATGTTTGACAGGGACAATATTGTACTCATTTTATTTTGCTTATTATAAGACATCAAATGAATTCTTGCTGAACTTTTATGTCTAAATTGGTTGATTATGTGGCTTGTTTGTATTACTTCCAGTACATTGTTAAATATATAGTTCTATTTGTAGTGCTCAAAAATAATATAGAGCAGCCTTCACCAACATGCTGCCCTCCAGATGTTTTTGACTCCTCCTCTTGTCATTCCTGACCATTGAGTATGCATACTGATGTTAGAATCTGAAACACCAGGCTGGGGAAGGCTGGCAAAGAGATGTTTCTGGATGAGAAGGGATTGGATTGCTTTCTCTTTTAGCACAATGTTACTGTAATAACTCAACAGGCTTTTTTTCTGAAAGCAATATTACAAAAGATTCAGATATGCTTAAGAGATAAAAGATACAGATTTCCAAGATAGGTTTCAATATGGAAAAATTTAGACAGCAAGCTCTTTCTTAAATAGGATGCCATGATGCATTTTCTGCTGCTGACCGAAACAGTTTTTAACTAAAAGAATGAATGACAGGATGCCATTCATTCAATGGGCCTACAACAGAGTTGTCTCTAGTAACTCTAAAATCTAGTCCAGATTAACAACAAATCCACAATCACTGTGGCTTTGTGGCCCAGCAGGATTTGTGTGGAGGTACCAGTTCACAACAGCCAGCATCTCCATTGTGTTTTGCACAACTGTGTGGCCTGTTCTCTTGAAATTGTAGCAGCTGTGTAGTAGCTCCCAAGTGGGTATACCAGTTCACAGGAACACCACCAGAAGGTGAGCACTGCCAAGCAGCAAATCTGGTATCACCGCAAACCCTCTGAAGGTGCTTGCACAGGGCCACCGTTAGTCAAGAGTTGTTCTAGTCTTGTAGGTGCTTTAACACGGGACTAAGTAAACAGAAGCAAATGGAACTCTTAGAAGCAGACGGAAGCACCTTGCACAACCCCCAAGAGCTGTGCAGTGGTTAATGTCTACCTCTTTGTTTCCTGTCTGGTCTCTGTTTGGCTTTAAATTTATGTTCTTTGTGTTAACAACAAAAAAATCTTATATCTTCTTCTTTTCCAAAGTTTAAAAAAAAGGGTGGGGAAACCTGAAAGCTGAAGATTAAGGCGCTAAAGAGATCCAGTGCTGAGCAGCCCTGTTCGGCACATATTTGATAAAAGCCATTGTTCTTAATTCCTGATATAAACAATGTTTGTTTGTAAAGTTTCTTCCTGCTGGGAAAATATGTATTTTTAAAAGGAAAAAAAATCCCTCTTGGCTATAAGAATGTCAGCTGTATGAGCAGGTGTGACCATATCATAACATGCTGATTGGATATAAATCAATAAAATTTATACCTCTCAGGACTCTTTATGCTTGGTCTTTCAAAGAATGATTAGCATGTCCTGTAAATTCTGTGACTCACAGTTGTTGCATTTCTCAGTAGATACAGCAACAAACAGATTATTTTAATGCCCACACAGTAGGAATGTGATGTATTTAAACATGTGAAATTATGCAACAAACTTTGACCAGAAACTGACACATACGTTCCAGACCCCATGTTGGACTGAATACCAGAATGGCGTTGTTTGAAGTCAACTTTCCAACTTCCGAATACATTTCCATACGATGTTCCTTTCTGAAGGCACAGGACATCAGTTGAAAAGCATTTGACATAAAGTTTATAAGCTAACTGATCTGTATTTCTGAGCCCTTCAAAACTGGAGTGACTATCCTATTTAGACAATCTTTTTAAGTGTCTCAGCTCACTAAGATTTACTTCTAAATTCTCCCTCTATCCTCTTCCCACCAACAACAAATTCACAGACATATAAAAGCATCATTTCATTCCCTGAGAAAGGGGCATACATTTACTGCATTTAATCATGATGCTAAAACTTTAAGAGAAATGTGTTAGTAGAGAAAATTCAGATCCCAGTTTGAGATCCTAGTTAATATCTAGTGCTTGCACAAACTACCTTTATAACAGAATAGTGGAGTTGGAAAGGCCCTATAAGGCCATCAAGTCCAACCCCCTGCTCAGTGCAAGAATACATACAGTAGTCATTGTTATGTTACTACTAATAACGGACAACATCCAGCAAACCACCTGAAACATGTCTTACTACTAATAACGGACCAACATCCAGCAAACCACCTGAAACATGTCAGTGGTGTATCTGATTTCAAAATTATTTAGCATGTGGTGTTTATATAAAAATGAAATACAAATACAGTAAATGAGCTAAAGTGAATGAGCTAGGGTGGAATTCTTCCACTATAAACCATGGTAACCTGTGATTTGCTAGAAATTGTAATCAGAAGCTTAAAATGTTCTCCTTTCATGTGAAATAGAGAAAGACAGGATGTGCAAACCTGAGTCTCACTGTAGCACAGTGGTTCCAACCTTGGGTCCCCAGATGTTCTTGGACTCCAACTCCCAGAAATCTTGGCCAGCATAATTATTGGTGAAGGTTTCTGAGAGTTTTAGTCCAAGAACATCAAAATTGGGAACCACATCTTTAGTGCATTCTTTTCATACTGATCTACTGTCTAACATGTTAACTGGAGTCACATACTTAGAGAAAAAGATACAGAATGGATGATCAAGTAACATGCTGCATGCCGCCTTCTGGGAGTTACAGCAGAATAGCAAGCTTGAGAGAAAAGCACAGAGCTTTGAGGACAGGTTGCTGGTTGTCTAAACCAGATTTTTTTTTAAAAGAATAACTATTCCATCTGAATGAGTCTACCAGGGGGACAGTGTCCATATAAAAAGAAAACGAAATACTTTATATAAAAGCATAATAAACAACATAATCATACCATTGGCATTAATAAAGCTAAATAAACATAAAAAGGCAAGAAGCAGTTGTCAGAAATTTCTCTGAAGCAAATTACATTCTGAGTTCTCTTTGTCACATATCTCAACAATCCAAGGGCCACCATGGAGAAAACCATGTTCTATGTATCCATACATTGCATATCCAAGAGCATGCAAATATGTTACAAGGCTTCCAGAAAGTATCTAAATGAGCATTGTGTAAATCATAACCCCACAGATAAATGTGAGGAGGTTCAAAAGGGGGAATTCTATGTTAGGTGTGAATGTTACCTCACGAACAAGGTCAGCTGAAGCTGCATTCTATGTTAGGTGTGAATCTGAATTCATTGGCTTAAAGAGACTTTCAGACAAATGACTGTTCCCATCTCCTTTATTATTTACAGACCACATTATATCCCCCCTTTGGCCAAAAATGGTCCAATAACAAGTTCTAATAACAGATCAGTACAAGCAAGTTCCAAACAGTAGCCATGCTAGTTTGTTGCAGGAAAATCAAGCAAGAGCTTTATGGCAACTGAAAGACGGACACGTTTTATTTGTTGTATGCTGTCTTGGACTTTGTCAAGGATAATTTCACACTGAGGCAGAACAAGGCCTATGATAATCAGCAACAGACTTTAGGTGACTTCAGAAGCATAGAAGCTTAAAGCCTCAGTAGATAGATACTGCCAGGTTACAATCTACAACAGCTTATGTAAAATAAAACTACAGGGTTGCACAAGACTATTGTTTTTGCCATGAAAGCGAGTAAGGCCTTCCTGACATGTTCACAGTATAAATGACATGGAATGAAAGTAATGAAACAGGGGAAATAAGCAGTTCTTCACTGTGGTCTCTATGAGAGTCACAAATGGGTTCTGCATCTTTGCAGAAGCCATCCATGGAAAGCTTCAGAGCGACTAGACTCCCAAGTCTTTCTGCTAGTCTCCCAAGCCTCTGCATAGACTGCACATGCTCCTTTCTCTTCCGTCTCTCTGTGGCGTGACAGAAATTAAAATAGGAAAACAAGCAGATACTGAGACTGGTTCTTAAATATATATACAGTGCAAACAATCATTCAAGGAGAGGAATCTGAGGGAAATCGTTTTCCAACAAAGTCAATGAAGTGGCCCTATGACTTCAATCGTTATGATGAACTGGCGGAGTGGCAATTTTCTTCAATGCTTTTCATAGCCACCAGTATCTTTTCTAGCAAATGTGTGTGTCATATGTTTACGTACTGACTTTTGTACTGCTTCCTTGAAATGCCTGACATCTTTCCCAAAGAAGTAAACCAGTCTGCTGGTTTCACATATTGACAGGTGTATTGCAGGAAACACCTGAGAGATTAAAGAAAGGTTCTTCCACCACTATTGTTCCGTGGATGCTCTCCCATTCCTTCCTGGTGACAGAGCAACTGTCCTATTAGCTACAGAAATTGTAAACAGCAGTTTAATCCAGTGGAACATGTCAGGTTACTTCAAATAGTTAAAATGCTAAATCTTTAGCTTTCAGCCTGTCTTTTCTCTCAGTATTTTTGTTGTGATAGCAAGTGCATAATGCAGACCCTGTGTGTTTGTTAAAGGTTCATATGGCAAGGTGGAAGGACCAGTTGCATTCATTAAGCTTGACACTGATTTACAGAAACAGGCACATGCTTCTGAGTAATGATACAAATAGTGTATTAAGGGAGCTAGGCAGTGCATTTGTATTTTTAGAACACCTGTTCTTTTATTTGAAGGGTAAATGAGAAACTGCTCCTAGTAAAAGCCACGTTTTTGGCAGGCAAGAAAGCTACTGGTGGCTTAGTTTGCACAGGCAGCTGGGGATCCTTTCCCCTCAATCTGTGTGGGAAATCCCATGATGCAGATGATGCATATTGAAGAGAATGCAAGAGTTATTATCCCATGCATTTTCTCCCATGAGCTTCAGCTGACCTTGTTCGTGAGGTAACATTAAAAATGCCTGCCTTCAAGCCTTCTCCTGTGCATGAACAGGAGGGGAAAATAAGTAGCACGCCCAGATTCAACAAGGAGATTTAACATGGAGAAATGGTTCATAATAATACTAGGTATGCCTTCGAAGACTTAAGAGTCATTTTGTTCCCAATGCTCTCTCTTTTGATTGGTCTGTCTTGCAATTTATTTATTTATTGGATTTCTATCCCACCCATCTAGACCAAGAGTCTACTCTTATTATGTTTCCAGTCATTCATGTTCTTCTAACAAAATTAGCATGGCACCATTAAACAACAGGGAATCAGGGGCATTTTAAAGAATAAAAAAATGTACAGTGGATATGAGGTAAATGTTTATAATGAAGAGTTGGTCAACTTCTCAGAGATGGGGGAGGGCTGCATTGGACCCTTCCAACCCCCTATGAACTACTCCCTGCCCTTTTCACTGGTAAAGTTATCATCACACAACTATCCACAGAGACCGTCAAAAAACTGCTGAAAATTGTGCCAGTCAAATGCTCCCCTTGCCTCAATTTTAAGATATAAAAAAAATCCAAAAGGAAGAGTTCCCCATTGTAAAAGCAGGAGTGTGCAGATTAAGTTCCTCTTTATGTAGTCTGTTCATGACAAAATGTATAATCCAGTAGGAATATTACTTGCATATAATGAACTGAAATTAACAGATGCCTCTTCTGTCGAAATGAACTATTTGAATCCTGATGCTCAGCTAATAAAGACTCTCAGAACAGATTATATTGTAAGACACTCTGCTCTCTAAAAGATGACACAAAAGGAAGACACTGGAAAGCGGTGGAAAGGAAACAAATTCAGATACCAGTTCTTCATTTTAAAAATTCAGCAGGTAAATAATACAGCAGCTTGTGGATCTAAGCATGTTGGGAGTGTGGCTTCTGATGAAATTAGTGACTGGAGAGAGGTGTTATTCTGAGGTAATTCTCAAGCTCTATCCAGACAAGATGGAAGGTGCCTGGCTCCTGAGGGTGGTCATTTTTCTCCCTTCAAATACAGTGGGGTCTCTACTTAAGAACGTCTCTACTTAAGAACAATCCAACTTAAGAACAGCTCCATTTGCTAAATTTTGCTTCTACTTGAGAACAGAAATCCAAGATAAGAACAGGAAAAAAAACCTTTCCTGCTCTTTTTTTAACCTTAGGGCATCTTAGGTTAAAAAAAAAATCTCCCCCTAGTGGTAGAGTACGTATTAACCAGCTTTGCATTAGTTTCTATGGGAACTAATGCTTCAATGTACGAACGCACCTCTACATAACAAAAAAACAGCCAGAATGGATTAATTGGTTTTCAGTCCATTCCTATGGGAAATTTTGCTTCAACTTAAGAACACCATTCCAAAACGGATTAAGTTCTTAAGTAGAGGTTCCACTGTACCAGGTGAAAAGGACACTGAGCAACAAGACCCAGATCACCTTGTCACAGTCTTGCCTGCTATGGTACGCTAAATGAATGTAATTATGTATACATCTGTAGATACATGTACAGTATCTTATGAAACCCAGTGTGGTATAATTGATAAAAGTGTCAAAATAGGACATCTTGGTTCAAATACCTGCTCAGCCATGGAAAACATAAGGTGAGGGGGTGGGGTGACAATAGTAAACCACTCCCTGAGTATCTCATATACCTCAAAAGCCTTATTAGGAGTGCCAACTCAACAGGGGCAACTTGATGGCACAAAGCAATGTTTAAATCAGTATATGTCAGTATAATAAATACCTGTGTCCTTTGTCTTTCCCCTGTTTCGCTGGCTACTCTTTCTAATGTTGCAGTTGTAGCAGGAGGAATGAGCAATACAAGGGGGACCTACACAGTATCTGTCAGGTGTTTTAAAAATTGTGGTTGCTTGGTGTATGTCTGCTGGTATTTTAATCCTGAGAAGTGGGGCCACCACTTATTATCAGCAGAACTACAAGAATGTTCAAAGCAGCAGAACTAATATCAGAAGCTCCTATGTCCTCTGCCTCATTGGTAAGAACATTTGGATCTTATAAACATGGCTTCCAGATGGCTTCAGGACATAGAAGCTCTCTGACCTTTCATTTTGTGAAGATTGTAATGCTACAAGTGTTACTTGTGAAGGACTTAGAGACAGAAAATGGAATAGCTGTGCCTCCAATATGACAAGGACTTTTAAACAAATGTAGGGAACATTACGTGTTTACCAGAGATAACAGGATGAGGATAATAAATTCAGCAAAATCAGTGAAGATTAATGTGAGCAAATGCAGTTGGTCTTACATGTGCAATTCAGAGATGGGCACAAACTGCTGAACTTGGTTCAGTGCTTCTCAGCCCCACCTCTTCCAGTAAGCATCCACTCAGAGGCAGCACCCCAACTTCCTTATCCCACCCCCTCTGGGTGCTCCTTCTGAATGGGTACCCACTGGAGGAGGCGGGGCTGGGAAGCGATGAATACCTGTTTGGCCAAAAGATGAACCGGCATGAATTGCTATTTTGGCAATTCACGCCCATCTCCAATGTGCATTGTTTCAATCTGAAGGACCAAGCATCAGGTATTACATGTGATGTCAATGGGCTAAATCCTATTATTAGTCACAACTAGGGAAGACTCACTGAAATTCTGTTGCACAATGATACAAATGATGTAACTTTTGGAATTGAATTGCTATTAAAAATCTCCATACACATCTGTTTCACACTGAATTCTACAACTTGGTATGCAACAAATAAGGTCTCTAGAAATTTCTTACCCTATGGCAATTCACCTCTAAAAGGTATGCTATTTGCCTAATTGCACAACAGGATTTTAGCCATTATAGCATAAGAACATAACGTAAAAATGTAAGACAAGCCCTGCTGGATCAGGCCAGGGGCCCATCTAGTCCAGCTTCCTGGATCTCAGTGTGGCCTCACCAAATGCCTCTGGGAGCACATGAGACAACTAGATACCTGTCTCCTGATACCCCTCCCCTGCATCTGTCATTTTGAGGTACCGTCCTTTTAAACCTGGAGATTATGCATCCCTATATCATGGCCTGTAACCTGTGATGGACTTTTCCTCCAGGAAACTGTCCAATCCCCTTTTAAAGGGATCTAGGCCTTTAAAGCAATGGGACATTTATTTTAAATGGTACATTTATTTTATTTTTATTTATTTAAAATGTTTATACCCTGCCCTACATCACAAGATCATCAATACCTTACTTCCTAACAGGTGACAATGATGTTGGCCACTTTGGAGTGGTACAGTAGGATGGAGTCTTCTTTGGTGACTATTTTTAAGCAGAGGTAGGATGGCCAACTGTCAGTTGGTGGATTTCCTGCATTGGCAGGGGGCTGGATATGATGACCTTTGGAGTCTACAGTTCTATAATTCCATGAGAGAGTAAACATACACAGCAGCCCAACCATTGCAGAAGAGGAATTATCCCTTCCAAACATCTATTAATACTTAACAGCTTTCAGAGGCAAGTCATCTGTTCTGTTCCCCCTCAACAAAGCCTGTGACTTACAGCATAATTCTGTTGAGGCCTACATAGAAGTACACTCAACTGCATTCAGTAATATTTATTTCAAGGTAATCCAAGTACAGAATTGCATCCTATACAGTATACCTGTGAACCAAGGCCATGTTATCGTACATGTCCTTTTGCAATAACATAAAAATTAACATTAAAAAAATTAAATATTTGTGTTTTTGACAAATACTGGTAACCCCAAACATTTTGCTAAAAATTCTGGTCTGCAAAAACCAACAAAACCATCAACAAAACCAACACATTTGTCTGCTCTCAGATCTGCAGACAAAGGGCAGACTATTACAGCCTCAAGCCATGCCTCATTTGACACAAGCTGTGTTCCCTTCCTGGATTTTACATACTTGGTGATGTGTTCCTTACAATCTTAGCTGTCTAAGAGGGTCAAGAGACAGTTGAATTGACATTAGTCCCGATTAAATTCTGCCACATTAGGGATATAGGAAATTGATTCAAACTTACCTTGCTGAAGACCGGTGTTGGGTCAGTAACTGTGGATGTGTTCGTGGGATAGTGAAGGACTGGATGTGAAGTAACAGCTCCTTCCTAACCTGTGCCTTTTTCAATACATTTTCATCTACCAGGAGATCTTAGCCAGTAAGGTAGTGCTTCCAGCAGAAGAGTATTTTTGCCCACTGAAGGGACTCGAGCATAATTCCAATTTGCCATAACCTATGAATCTTTGCTTTGGGATTGCACTGCTCATTGGAATACAATTCTTCATTGCTTCTCGAGTATCAGAGTGCAGGCACAGATATTCTTGCTATTTCTCTTGACTTCAGAAGGTGCACTGTAACATAATGCACCTCTGGTTGTTGTAGGCCAGAACACGGCCAAACAGCTCGAAAAACCTACAACAGCCGTCATATCCCAGCTGTGAAAGCGTTCAAGAATACATAATACACCTCCTTTATAGACATGTCACACGGAGATAGAATTCTAGGTGAGGGTACTTCCAGATACAGCATTTGTTCCACCTTCAGTTTTTATTGGAATTTTTTCTGTGATTCAAATAGCAACTTCTTATCTCTCTTTGTACTACTTCCTTTCCTGTGTTTCCTAAACTTTTTCCCCCTCCTAAAACCCCTGGGCCATTTAAGCAGAATGCAGAGCAGAAGGACAATCAGGTAAGTGCTCCCCATCCCACTCTAGCAAGGTCCCCAACACATGAGCAGTCACATGACTAATATCTTAAGTAGTTCAAGAATGGACATGTGACAGGGAGCCTTGTTAAAGCCAGGAGGGGGGACAATTTTGGGGGCAATAGGATGCTGTTGCACATTTAGTCAACAGGAAAGTGGCCCTGGTTTATTATTTGTACTGCTTATTGAAGGGGGCAAAGTTTAGGTGTTTTATAAGAATGGTGCACAAATTTATTTTTGTTAATTGGGTCACTTGATTCTTAAGCTGCTCAAGAAATACAAAAAGCAAATGCATATTTACTTCCCATCTCCAAGAAACTATCTGCCTTGCAGAATGTGATGAAGATGCTGCCTGGTTTCCAAGGATCTCCTAGGTATTGAATTCCTAATGCACAGGAGTATGGAAAGTCCCCAGCTGATCAGCTGCGCCTTGTATTCATTAATTCAATTTCTTCTATGCAATCTGTTAATCCTGATATTTTGAGAGGTCGGGCAACTAATATGCTCTTCTACTAAGGATGGTGGTGATTAAATTAATTAGCCATACTCTATACAGGGTGGAATTGGCTGAATAATTCATTAACTCAAAATAGCAACACTGGCTTTGAGTTTTAGTTTTATATGGAACAGGAGACAAGCAACACTTCTGACACTTCAGATTTTGCAGTACAGTTACCGACAATGTTGACCCAAGACAATATGCTGCCCGAGGCCAAATAGTTAGCTAAAGTGGTTGCACTGGCAACAGGATAGGTTCAGAGTGGAATAGCTGGGGGGGTTCAGGAGGATAGCCAGCAATCTGTTGTGCCCCTTTTAATATCTGCCACCTGCGGTCATAGTCTCACGCTGCCCAATGATAGGGTAGGCCCTGGCCACAGAGGACTATGACTGAAACCAAGAAAATACGCTGTAGCAGGCGGGCAGATTCTTGTCATAACTTTTCTGCCTGTGCTCTAGAAATATACAGACAATGAAACTATTAAGCTTAACCTTCTGATCTTGTTCAATCTTATGATTCTATTATTACTATCGCTGTCCATTACTATGCTCTCATTAGGAGAAAATAAAGTAGCAGATGGAAGTAATCTGCAATTCTATGCAGGCTAATAGAAACTTATTTCTAACTAACAGCACAGTGCTGTTCAATCTGTTTCATACCATCCCAGGACTGTGGTTGCCGTTGGCTTGTCTCTCCAGCTTGCTAGCTTGAAATAGGACCTGGCGAAAGGGGAAGGGGAGAAATAGGAAAAGTAAGCAGTGTTTTTCTTATCTATGGGACAATTAGTGGCTAAAGCAACCAACAATGTCAAAGTTCAATTCCCCACTATAACCTCCTGTGAATAGAGCAAGCCCATGCGGCCTTGGGCAAGCCGCACAGTCCCAAGATGCCCCTCTCCAGAAGAAGGGAATGGTAAACTACTTCTGACTAGTCTCTACCTGGAAAATTCTGAAAAGGGAGGTGATTCAAGGAAGAATGAGCAGATATTACCTTCCCAGGTAGAGAGATGGGCATGTGTAGACTTCAAACACTTGGAGGTTGCTCACCTCTGCTCTACAGGTAGCAAAAAGGCTTGATCCTACCACCATTTCAAGATGTGCATGCAATACTCACCATATCCTCGACTTTAAAAGGGTCAGCATTATCCTTTACTAATAATTTGCAACAAGTCCTCCTGTTATTCTAATTTTTTTGTTTTGTGTGTGTGCCATGAGGGGATATCTGGAATCATCTTAGATTCTGTTAATTAATCTGACTTTATTTGCCTGCCATTTCTTATAATGATTGTCACAGAAATATTATGATTAAAGTCTGCTTCAGGCTGGAGGTCAATCTAATCCAATTATGTCTTTTCCTTGTGGCCTCCCAAATTAACAAGACCGAAAAAAGCTGACTACCTCATTGGTTTTCGTGTGGTGTGTTTACATGAATCAGCTTGGTTGTTTTGCTTTCCTTCTTCATTTCTGTAAATTCCTCATTTTTATGTTAATTTAAGTCCAGAGGCAGACATAATGCTTTATGATCAAGTAGAGCTGACAGCTCTTTACCCATTTAGTCATCTGTTGCACCATCGCTTGGTAATTAGGATGCTGTTTTCTGCGAGATTGTCAGTGGATTACAGTTTGCTCAGAATGTCAGCAATATCCCTTATGTAACTTGGAGCATTGGTGGAATAGAGTTTGAGGTTTCTTTCCTGAATTCCAAGTTGGCCAAACATATTTTTAAAACCAAACACATAACATTTTAATTGGGATTACTAGTACCGTAGTTATTGATTATGATAACAATGATGACTACAGCAACATGTTGATTGGAATTATTTTGGAAAGAGGATTAGATGTTGCTTCATACTGACATGTCAATCATTGATCTAGCTCATTAATGTCTATACGAGGGCTGGAGAAGTTGTGTGTCCTCTAGAAGTTGTTGCAGTGTAACTCCTACCAGCCCTAACCAGCATAACTAACTGTGAGCCATGATGGGAGCTGATGATCATCAACCTCTGGAGAGGCATATGTTCCCTATCCCTGATCTATACTGACTGCCAGTAGCTCTTCAGGATTTTGATAGGAATCTTTCCCAGCTATATCTCCACCGGACAGGACCTGCTCTTGGAATCTATTGCATAGAAAGCACAGGTTAAATCTCTGACATGCAGTCCTTCTGTTATGCCTCATCATGTCAGTCCTGGCTTACAGAGACCTAATAAAGGTTGCGGGGTATGTGATGTTCAAGGACTGATTTACCGCCAGTGAAGTTCTATGACCCAGCAGAATCCAGCTTCCTATCCATTACACCACACTGGCTCTCATGGTGATTTGAGCCTCCTGAGAGAGGGAGAGTGGATGTAACTGAATCTTAACATGTGCATCTTGCGAAACAAATCTTTAAGAAATTGGACCACAATGTTCCAATCAAGGCATGAATTGTAAACAAGTCTTGGCTTAATTCTTCTTTGGTAGTGCAAGGGAGAACCAAATTCTGCAGGTTTAGCTGTGATTGGGTTACTGTGTGTAGATTTTGGATGAGATAAACTGATGCGAAAGGTGAGAGTTTTGTACCTGAAGTCAATAAAAGACATGGAAAAAAATACTTATCAGATAATAAATACAAAACCTGCATATAAATCACGAGAAAAAGCACTTGTTTTCTTTCCACTCTAGGTCTTCTAATTTTTCCCTTATGCAATTTCTGAAGACTATTTTGTTTCGTTCTTGCATATTAGTTTTTCTTTATCTTTTTCCCATTGAAGTTGGAAAAATCAAGCTTCAAAAGACTCTGGAAGATAGTTTTCATATCTCAATCACTAGCTGAAAGGACAATACATTTCCTGGGCTGTGATTTCTTTTTGTTTTTTTGTGCCAGATCAAGTATTCTCCACTAGTGCTTGAAAAGCTAGTGTAAACACCTGTTCGGCTAGCTTATACAGCATACATTTGCAGTACAGTATAATCTTTTCTTACACATATGAAAATATTTTTTAGAAATGTTATTTAATTTACTATGACCATCCGTACAAGAGATGTGTTAACCAGGGGTGGAGGTAGGTGTTTGGAGTGAAACAGTGCCTTTAATAGCAACATTATAAGGCATGGTGCTTCGGTCCAAGCTGTGAAATGTCCTGCATAATGAAATTTCTGCATATCAAGCTGTTAAAGGCACACAATCAGGCTGGGCTTTTTTTCTGCCAAGTAACAACCTATTTCTACCTCAACTCATATAAAAAACATTTCTGCACAGGTGAAACTTTTCACAGCATAGAAATAATGTCATCACTTGCTAGTTATCAAGCTCTCTCACCAAGCTGTCCTTCAAAGCACAGTCACAACAGCTATTTTGCAAGTTGGCAATCCTACTGAACACAATTCTGCAGTCTTAAGAAAACAAGTTGGGGGAATTGTAATGGTCTAATTTTGCTATTTTTAGCTGTAAGGTTACTATAACCAGAACTGCTGGTGATTCATTTTTTTGTCCTCTGCTATGCAGCTGCATAACACACCCAAACACCTTTTAAGTTCTTACGTCTGTTGCTTTGAATAGGTGCAAAAACAGCCTGGACTTTGTATTTCACTTTATTGTGAAATACTTTATCACTTTATTAACTCTGATTTTTAAAAGAAAATTATCTTTACCTGAGCATAGTTAAGGCCTGGACAAATTGTTACCAGCATCCTCTGTGTCTCTGTGCAATTATTGCTTCAGCATACAATCTTGTCTTCCATTGTAAGTGTATTTTGCATTTCTTCCCCAAGCCCTTTAACCTCCAGTTTGGAAAACCTTTGTCTTAAAGTTCTCACATAAGATGATGATGATTCATATTGTAAAACCATCTGTATATCCATGTCTCTTTTTGTTTTCATATATACTCATAGTTAGCACAAAAGCCTCTTGGTCCATAAAAGCCTTGATCCAATAAGAACTTTACTTGCAAGCAAATACACTTAGGATCACAGCTTTAGTAAATTAACAAAGACACAAGAAATAGCACATTGCTATGTAGGAATACTTACATAGTATTTAAAGGTGCATTGCATACAAGGATGTTTGCTTCCACATGCCTGTGGAAAAAACTGCAGCTCTCCTTTCATGGTGAGCCTTGCATGTGTAAGAAGAACAAGGCAAGAGCATATGGCCCTACAGATGTTTTGACCTAAATCCCCCATCACCCCTAAGCACCACAACCAACAGGGAAAGGAATTACCTCAAAACACCTGAAGATCCACATTTGCTTTCCTTAGCAATACTTATGGCTTAGCATAATAGAAACCACATTCTGAAGGAGACTTGTTAATGAGCAAGTCTTATTATATCCATTGTTAGGTACTTTTTCTTCTGGATTCTGGCTGGAGGATAAGCATAAACCACAATTTGCTAGGCATTTGTTTTACTTTGCATCATAGCAACAAATTAGGGTGAAGGCTACATAGGAACTGTCCACATGTGCACAAGCCTCAGATCTAGAAAATCATCTGAATTTGGAGTGCCAATTATAGGGCTACATTTCACAAATATTTTCATACAGTTTATGTGAAAGCTGTAAATGGGAGCTTTACAAACCACAGACAAAAAGAATAAAGGACACCCAGCTTACATTGTTTGGTTGATTTCTCCTCATCCACTAACAATAAACTGTGAAGGTGGCATATGTAAACTTCATCTTGTGCAATAGACAATTTCCAGAGCAACTGCTATGCTGCTCCACGGCAGCACAAGTAGTATTGTGTTGGGGCATTTTAAAAGACCATCAGATTAAAAGAACACCGTGTGTGTGTAGATTCCGTGATGGAAAAACCCTCACATCTAAAGACCTATTGTCTCAGTAGGACCTGGGAAGAGGCTAGGGAGGTTTATTATGATTTTTCTTTTTCTTCCTTATTTATTTATTTGCAATATCTGACTGAGATATGTCTTGCAACAAGATTAAAAGCAGGTGCAAATGAAATCAGACAAAAAGTTACTATGTAAAACAGCTGGAACAATTGTGTCAAAACAATAGTTAATTTAAAAAAACAACATATTACAACAGTTATCCAATAATACTTTTTCACAGCAGCCAGTCAGTTACCCAAGGCAGGAAAAAAAAGAGAGTGAATTTTCTAGACCACTAAAATTTCAAAATCAGGTGAGTTTCCCAGACATATATGATTAAGCCCTAGAAAACTCCAGGTGTGTTATAGCAACAAACAATTACAGTAAATCTACATTTCTGTATGATGAATGGGAACAACAACAAAAACCCAGCCACAAACCACAAAACCACAGACAACAATAATGATTGATTATATTTCCTAATTAGCAATGGTGTGCTAAAACCACTAAAGGTTGACTATTAACAGAGCAGAGTTAAAAAGAGAGGCCAATGGCTACTGTTGTGAATGGGTCTCTGTGCTCTTGTACACGTTTAATTTTTCTACAGAAAAGTCACGGCTATCTTTCCCTCTGAGTATTTCTGTCCTGTTACATACCTTATAGTACCCATGATGTGTGTGTTGTATATGGCCAGTTGAAGACATCATGATGTATCTACCAGACATGAAAATGAATCTGTAAGGATTTAAGTTGCCAGAAAAGCTGGTTCTCTGGTGAGCACTGAAAAATAGATGACAACATACCACCTTGTGGAAAGTTTATATCATTGCATCTAAAGTCAGCAAAAGCTTTATTTTTAAAGAGAGAAGAAGTAATTGACACCTTCATGAGCTAAGGGCATTGCATCTGGCCCAATTTTTGACCTATTTACCTTAATTCCAGGTTTTATAACATCCCTGCTGGATCTAGTGATCCAGTAAAGGCATTGCCTAATTTGGATTTTGATCAGTTGTTCTTATGTCTGTACTTTTAAAAGAAATGTTAGGATTAATTTACTAACACACTCTGATTCAGATACTAATGCAGGGCAGGTTATTCCAGAATAAATAAATAAAAATCTACAGTAGGTAGACATTTAAAAAAGTATTGAAAACTGGTGGCAAGATTGGTTAATAGTTCCCAGCACAGTATTCAAAACAGAGCTACATCACCAATCTGAATAAAGAAATTATATTTATTTGTGTTTGCACTTCAAAATGCCTGTTAGGTTACATTGTGTCAGACATCTCAATTACTAAGAGACTGTTTCCTCTGAGACATTGTCTCTGTCAAAACAAGTTTTTTTTCATAATATTCTTTAAAAGGGTGATAAGCTGAGGTAACCTTACAAATAAAGGAGTAGAGGATTTTTCACCCTCCAAATTAAGATATAAGACACTCTCTCAAGGAATGCAAAGAAGGCCACAGGGCCACACATGCAAACCCCATTCCTAACATTCCTGTCACTATGTAGGGGTCTTCAGACCTTTGCACTTAAGAGAAGCAGCTCCTAAATCAGTTCAGCAAAACCTGCTTAGAGGCCTCTGCAAGATCAGAAACCCTGCATTATCCGTTTCCGATCACAAAAAGGCTTCTTAGCATTGTCTGGACATTCCTGTCAACCTGCTTAGAGGCCTCTGAGCACAAAGAGGCTTCTTAGCATTGTCTGGACATTCCTGAAATGGAGACGGGAGTGGTAACACATGCTGCCCTGCCTCTCAATTCACATTTATTTTGAACACTTGAAAGGAATAAAAAAAACTGTAAATGAATTAGGATCCAAGGGAAGTTCTTGACATTTAGGCAAGTGGCTACAAGTCAATGGTTCAGATTTGCTCTAGAGTGCATGGACAGCTGTGCAATTTCTATGGAAGCACTTCCTTACATAAATTATTTAAAATTAATTTCAGGACATTTTAAAGAACAGAGGCCTACTAGCTTTATTATATGTCACTAAATAAATCTTATCAGGAGACTTAAAATATGCTTAATTGTAACCATTAAAAACCCTCCCCCTCCAGAACTGTACAGTTAGGAGGCACTCCTCTCCTTCTTGTCTCAGCAGCATTTATTGTAGTGCTGGTATTTTATTGCTATTGATACTCATGCCTGTTTTATGCATTTCTTACATTCTATGAAAGACAAGGCGTCTTATGAAGTCCTGGAGCTAGTGAGCCCCTCCCTCCCCGACTGCCAGCCCGCTCTGCGTAGATAAACACTGTATTCACGCTATAGGTAAAAATAATTACATTAAATAAATAGATAGATAGATAGATAGATAGATAGATAGATAGATAGATAGATAGATAGAGAAACGTTATGGCATCTTAAAGGCTGCTATATTTTAATGTGAGCTTTCGTGGGCAAGTCCACTTCCTCAGACGTAAGAGATATAACATGGCAAACATTTATTCAGGGATCAAAATTCAGAGATTGTGTCAGTGTTGAACAGTAGGTGTTCAGCACTGAGGTAATAGCGTCTTTGATGTGCAGGCATTTCATGGAAGTTTGTGCTGTAAGGATGTGAGAACGGCTGACACGAAATAATAATGGAAGGATAATGTGAATGTTAATTATATCGAGGAGACTGACTTTTTACACACTCAGTCTTTTAAAGCAGCGGTTCTTGGGTTACTCAGGTGTTTTTGCACTGCAACTCCCAGAAGCCTTCACCACCAGCTGTGTTGGCTGGGGTTTCTGGAAGTTGCAGTTCAAAAACACCTGAGTAACCCAAGGTTAAGAATCACTGTTTTAAAGAATACAGTAAGCCTCCCTGGGTTGATCACAAGAACCGCCGAGGCGGCCGAAAACACTCAACAGCCATCCTTCCGCCTCCGTAGGCGATTGAGAACAACCGGCGGCTAGAGAGGCCTACGCAAAATACTACGTTAGAAGCGAAAACAACGTAACTGTTATTAAAAAAAACCCTCTTTTCTTCCCGCCCCCTGCCCTATGACGTTTTTTGACTGGCAGTTCAGAATCGATGCCCGATTGGGTGCCGGGAGCGGGGCGTGGGCAGGAAATCCGAAAGCGAGACCTTCTCGCGCTGCCTTGGACCGCCGCTGGCTGTGGTTGCCAAGCGGCTGGCTCAAACAGCCGTTACGCGGCGCGTGGGTTTCGTAGGCGCCGAGAGCCAATCGGAGAGCGGACGGGTTAACGTGGGCGGGTTCCGCCACGGCCCACCAATGGGCACCAGGCGTGGCGTGTTTTAAACGTCCGGGGTGGCGAAAAGCGGCGTGTTGCGGGTGTTTGGAGGAGAGTCGGGCGCAGGATGCCGAGCCGCCCCGAGGACTACGAGGTGCTCCTCACTATCGGTGCTGGTTCTTACGGCCGGTGCCAGAAAGTGCGGAGGAAGGCGGACGGCATGGTGAGCGGGAGCGGGCCTTGTAAGGGCCGCCTCTGGGCTTCTCTTCGCGGAGAGTCGGTGGTGCGCGCCCTTGGGACGAGGAAGGGGACCCTTTAGTAGTGCGTGGAGCTGCTCTGCGCTGGCACAGCCTGCCTCTTTTTTTCTCCACGTCGGTAATGCATGGCCAGAGCCAGTCCTGAGGCGTCTTCAAAGGCGAATCACGAGCGGCTCAGGCAGAACTTCATTTGTATTCTGCCTTCCTCCCAGCTCAGGGAGGTTGAGGAAATGGAGACGAGGTTAATGCAGATGTGTAAGCTTAACATGCGATTAACCCTATGAGAGGAAAAGACCATGCCCCTGAAGCAGTTTTTAAGACATGAAAAATCGAAATGCACACATGCAACAAAGGGTTTTAAGAACTGTGCAGCCTAATTGAAAACTCCTTCCTTTACAGCCCCTTCAGGTCACTGATGGTCCTTCTGCTGGCATTGAGGTGGGTTATGTCCACCAAAGCAAGAGAAACAGTGCTCATCTAAGTAACGCAACTAAAACGGCCCCTGTGGACTGGCTAAATATACTGGATACTGTAAAGAATTCATATTCCGCCAGTCTGCACGGGTTGTTTTGTTTACTGGGACTGGAATGGGTGGCATGAGTGTCTGGTCTAATGCAATGCTTGTGTCCAAAGTTTTGTAGGTGACCATTTGTGCTCCTCAGGCATGCTATCCTGTGGTTTTACCTACAGTGCTTCTTAGTAATTATGCATGTGCCCACGAGTCTGAAAAGGTTGGGGAGCTCTGCCCAGGATTTTAGAGAAAACCCAAGTTCATTTTATCCCTGTTCTTGAATCCTGGTCCAGAAATGGCTCATTGCAACTTGGGGTATGGGGGATCTACATGTATAGGCGTCTAGCTGATTCTACCACATGTTGTGATTCTTCCTACTTTCTAAGGAATTTCTATTAGGTTGGGTTCTTATTTCTGTAGTTGTCTACTACTATACTTGGATGTAGTGAAATAATACCAGGAGAGCTGGTTCCTCCTGCCCAGGTCTTTGTGGCTTAACAAAGTTCACACACTGTTAACAATAATCCTGTGCCATTAAAATAAATTCTGACCTACGCCAACCCTTTCTAGGATTTTCTAGGTAAACAGTACTCATGGTTTACCATTCCTTTCTTCTGGGAGCATCTTGGGACTATCCAGTTTGTCCAAGGAACCACAGGCTGCTTCTCCTGGGATGTACAGTGGGAATCGAACTCCCAACCTCTGGCTGCACAGCCAGATACCTAACTCACTGAGCTATTATAAAGTAGTAATAACCAAATTTCACTAATACCTCTTAGGAATCTATAGATTGTATATGCTTGTGTGCTTATCTGGGATACGTTCAGAATGAGACAGATCTTTGATAATTCTCACATTTGTCATCATTGTATTAATAAAGTGAGATGTGAAACGTAAGTGTTTAAGCAGAAGATTCATGAGACTGGGTTTGCTGCAGGTAGGAGATGACATAGTTTGACCATACGTAGGCTAAAATGAGATGTTAATCGTCATAGCAAGGTTTTCCCCTCAGATATAACAACCAACTTGCCATTTAAGTCCATGTGTGTGCTCGTATGCAGACACAGTTGGGTAATATATATTGTCTAAAAATTTTAATTTAGACAAGTACCTGGCAGATATCCTTTGATTTTTATTCCTGCATTGAGCAGGAGGCTGGACTTGATAGCCTTACAAGTTTCTTCCAACTTAATTGTTCTATGATTTTATGAAAAATTGTTTATTTAACTTTTTCAGGTTTTGGTCTGGAAGGAGCTAGACTATGGATCTATGACAGAATCTGAGAAACAGATGCTTTGTTCAGAAGTGAACCTGCTTCGTGAGCTGAAACATCCTAATATTGTCCGTTATTATGATCGTATAATTGACAGGACAAATACAACGCTTTATATTGTGATGGAATATTGTGAAGGTGGAGACTTGGCTACTATAATTGCAAAATGTACAAAAGAAAGGTATGTGAAAGTTCTCTTGATTTATTGTGGAAAAAGTTCCTATTGAGGCTGAAGCAGTGACTTTATAAACATTAATGCATGAATGCAATGCTATCACCCCAGTCAAATTTGGAATTGTGCTAGCTTTAATTCAGAAGATGCAAGAACAGTTTTTCCCAAATATTTGTGTATGTCTGAGAAGTCTAATGAACTTGTAGTGTGATCTTACAGTAACACTGCCCTTTAGTGATAATAATTATCATTATTAATTTTGGATTAGGAAATGTAAAGCATTTTTGCCCTTTTCTTTAGTTAGAAAAACTCCCAAAGGTGCTTAAGTAAATTAATAATAAGCCCATTCTTATCCTTAGTTTAGAGCAGTCTAAAAAACAACACAAAAAGGTAAAGGGAATGGGAGGGAGAGGGAAAAAGAGAAGCTCATGTCTTTGTTCTTAGTTATGAAGGCAGAATCAGAAACTTAAGAATTAGTCAGGTTCCTTTCCACAGCTTGTGACATATTTTTAAGAACTAAAATGCATATTTTGTGCTGAACTTTTTTTTTGGTTCTCCACATTCTCTGTATTGAAAATGAACTTGAGATGGAATTAGACTTGCAAGCTTTGATGTAATAGTGCCACCTTTTCCAGAATTAGGAGATCCTTGCTACTGAATGGGAGGCATTGGGTTTTTAAGGACAGTTGTTGGGACACTAGAGAAAATGGGATGAGAGCTACTTGCCATGTGCAACTGCATTCATCAGCATATCAGAATGAATAATATTGACCGTCTCCAAGGTGGCGAACTCCCCGCCAGCATGGGGAGCAGCATGTGATAATTCCAGAAAGGAAGACATCAGATATTTTCCTTATCCAGACTACATTGCTAATGCTTCAAATAACGCCTATTTTTCCAAAGCCGCTCTGCTTGCTGTAAAACCTAGAGCAACCAGTTGTGCCTGGACTATGGATAATAATGGAAAAGCTGCAGCTGATAATAATCTTTTTACATACTGCTGCACCACTGAGACAAGAGATTTTCTCACTTGTGGGGTTGTCTGAATAAGATAACCGGGGGGAACATCTTGTGTAATTATCTTGTTGTAATCTCCATGCCACTAAGTCAGGACTCTGCCTTTCCTAAGGCTTTAGCATGTGCTGAACCATTTTAAGAGAAGACAGAATTTCCCTTTAAATTGTGGGACATTTTGGAGAAGATTAGAAACAAGTATTTGCTCTTCTAGCCCAACTGAGAAAAGAAAATCTGCCTCTTCCATGTCCAGGAGGCAAAAGGTTACTTAGCTTATTTGTCAAAGGTCTGTTGTCCTAAGTCAATGTTAGTTACAATTTAACTTTTTTTTGTACCTTAGAGACACAGGTGGAATCTATACAGAACCAAGCCAGAACTAGTTTGCAGTACTATGCATCTTTCTGTGCATGTATAAAGTGCAGCCCACCATAGGGTGCCTATTTATATAGGCAGGCCAGCCAGTATCCAGAGTAGATGGTAGCTTTTACTGATGCCATGACTGTCTCTGTATCGGCTGTGTCTTATCTTCTAAGTCTGAACATCAGCCATTCAGCCTTTATGGGATAAATTAAGATATACTGTATTTGGGGCTAGTTGTAGCATGGAATAAAAATATGTTTCCTCCCACAATGGACTACTAAGAATAGAGCTTGTCCTCTCTGCAGAATCCAGTGCTGGGTTTCATTTTTCGTTAAACTACAGCTCTGTCCCCATCCTGATGCCATCTTAATAGATGTATTGTATTTCATCTTCCAGAACCTTCCCCCCAAAAAACGAGAAGTGAAATATTAAAAACTAATATATTTTATTTTGTGTACACTTCCACAAACTACAGCTTGTGATTGAGGAAGTGGGTTACATCATGTATCTTAAGATATTTAGCCTAAAGGTCCATCAAATAACCGACCTCTTTCTCTTTTGAAAGGCATTATCTGGATGAGAGCTTTGTGCTTAGAGTCCTTACTCAGTTGAGCTTGGCTTTGAAGGAGTGTCACAGACGGAGTGATGGAGGTCATACAGTGCTTCATCGAGACCTGAAGCCAGCAAATATCTTCCTTGATGGCAAGAAGAATGTGAAGCTTGGTGACTTTGGCTTGGCAAGAATTCTTCACCATGACACCAGTTTTGCAAAAACATTTGTTGGTACACCATATTACATGTCTCCAGTAAGTGTCAAGAATGCTGCATCTTCTGAGCATTTTCTAGCACCTTAAATGAATTCAGGTCTAAATGAACATATGTGCAGTTTGTCAATGAATCTAAAGTACAGTGGTGCCTCGCTTAACGAGCGCACCGCATAACGATGAAATCGCATAGCGATCCGTTTTTTCGGATCGCTAATGCGATCGCTTAACGTTTTTCTTATAGGGCACAATTCGCTTTGCGAAGACCGGAAAGCGTTTCGCTTACCGATCTTCGCAAAACGAAGCCCGCCGATCAGCTGTTCGGTGGCCAAAATGGCCGCCGGAAGCCCGGAAATGGCCCAAAATGGCCGCGCGCAGCGTTTTCGCGCCCTCGTTAAGCGAGGCGAGGGCGCGAAAATGGCTGCCGGCCATTACGAAGCTTCGTTGAACGGTGAGTATTTGGCCCATTTGGAACGCATTAAACGATGTTTAATGCATTCCAATTGGTTTTTTTGATCCGTTCAACGATGCTTCAGCATAGCGAAGGTTAATTCGGAACGGATTAACCTCGCTATGCGAGGCACCACTGTATCTGTGTTAACTTACAAATAATGAACTATATTTCATATATTATATAAACTGAGCTGAAATGTTTAGGAATAACTCAATAACATCTCTAGGAGTACTGTATAAAAGTTGTCTTTGTAAGTTTGTATCTGATTAATTCCTCCTATTGATGGAGTTGTTTCTGTCAATGGAATGAAAAAGGAGGGCATCTTCCCTGTGTGTTCTCAATCAAGTCTGGCAATTTGGAAGAGAGGAAGCAGAAGTCCACATATGCAATTGGAAGTCTACTCATGTGATCCATTTTGCTGAAAGTTTTGCTTGAAATTTATTTCTGCTGTAATCTGTGTAAATGTCTGGGTTGCTTCCCCAAGAGAGGCAAAGAAAATTTATTACCAGAAACTGTGCCTTCTGAAGCGTGGCTCTTATTGTGGGCTCCTGGTAGAAATTTGTCAGGCCTCCCCCATCCCATTGTTTGAGGATGCTAGAGACAGTATTGTTCCAAGGAGCATTTTATTTTATTTATTTATTTATTTGATTTATATCCCGCCCATCTGGTCTGGTTGACCACTCTGGGACGTTGTCTCTTAAGTGAGTTCTTATTTGTGTTTCCTGGAGTCTGCCATCATTTGGGATCAGGTGTATTAATTGTATGTGTTTATTTGGGGATGTCTGTTGTTGGTTTGTTGGGGTTTCTGTTTCATTGTCCTGTTATAAACTGCTTGAAGTAATGCTTTGCACTAAGTAATATACTGTATAAATACATGAAATAAATATATATCAATATTACACTGCCAACCACTTTCTTCACATTGTGAAGTGTTATGAATAAATGGAAGTTGTGGAAATAATATGTTTGCATGCATTTAAACTTGCTAAAGATAGTGTAAACCTTTTCCCCCAACATTAAACTGTCCCAGTTTATCAGGGATTATATCTATATGGAGGTTCCCAATGCTATAAAACAATGAATTTTAAGAAACAGAAAAATACTGCATTGGAAGACATTCCTTTCAGCCTTTTTAAGAAAGCCACTCGGTCCTCTTAAAAAGGTAACTAAATAATTCCTTTACTGGAATTCCAAGAAGGCTTTCTTCTTCCCTTATAAATTTGCCAAAGGCAAGTGGAGTAGAGGTCCCATGATATAATGAACAGCAGGCCTGAGCTGACAGATACTTATGCCATTAAAAAGCTGCTTATTATTATTAGTTTTATTTATATGCCACATTTCTCCCAACAAGGGACCCAAAGCAGCTAATGCATTGGAACCACCCTTTTTCTAATCAGAATAGCCACACTGAAATCTGTTTGATGGGCATTAGTAATTTCTTTCAGTGGGTCGTCTATGATTTGAGTTTCAATCCAACTGTATGCATTACTGAATGTTTCATGTTCTATTAAGAACTGCTTTAAAAGAAATAGTTCACAGTATGCATGTTCCTTACTATCAGATAAGTTTTTAATTGACATAAGTAGTACATTCTAAATTTAAATTGTGTTGTTGTTTTTTTTAGGAGCAAATAAATCGTATGTCCTACAATGAAAAATCTGACATCTGGTCTCTAGGATGTCTGCTATATGAGTTGTGTGCATTGTCGTAAGTATAATGCTCCGAAAAAGTTTACAGGTAGCCATTTTGAAGTAGCAATAAGTCATTTATTAGTATAATCTTGTTTTCAGAACCAAGCAATTAGAATTGGCTACCAGTCAAGCACCATAACTTTCTAGAAGTGTAAAATATCTTTCAAGTGGATGCTACAATCAAAAAACATGTTTTTTCACTATTTCCCTAGGCCTCCATTTACAGCCTTTAACCAAAAAGAGTTAGCAGAAAAGATAAGGGAAGGAAAGTTCAGACGAATTCCATATCGTTATTCAGACCAGCTGAATGAACTTATCACAAAGATGCTAAATAGAAAGGTAAGGGTGGCTTCTCATAGACAGAAAAGGTGGCAGCTGTGAATCTGTGCAAGGGAGCCACCATCCTTTTTCTACTGCCCCCAAGCTGTTCCAGAAGAATGTTCGTGTGATGACCCCTGATTAATCTTCAATGTAGCTCAAGTGATTGCAATCAAACAAAAGCCAATTAATTGGTCTGGGTTGGTGGCAGTGTACATCTATCTTTGTTCTTGTTAAGTCGTGTCCAACTCTTCGTGACCCCATGGGCCAGAGCACGCCAGGCCCTCCTGTCTTCCACTGCCTCCTGGAGTTGGGTCAAATTCATGTTGGTAGCTTTGATGACACTGTCCAACCAACATCTATCTTACTGGATCCTAAAATATCTTTTTCTTTCCCACATCACATGACTCCTTAACTGTGACCCACTGAATATTCTGCATCTTCTTGGTTTCAAGGATTATTGTCGGCCTTCAGTTGAAGAAATTCTACAGAATCCTTTGGTAGTTGACTTGGTGTCTAAAGAGCAAGGGAGAATCCTGGAGATGAAAGGGCGACGATCAGGAGAGCAAGAGAAAGTAGGAACTCCATTGAATGAGCTGAAACTGAAAGAGCAACAGCTACAAGAGAGAGAAAAAGCCATAAAAGACAGAGAACACAGACTAGAGCGTAAGAACTTGTGTCACATAGTGGTATGTTGAGGGGATACCAGTCCATGCCATAACAGTGCCTTCTAGGGATGAAATATATTTCCTTAGGTACAACAACCTTGAACTTTAACCACATCTTCTGGGAAATGTATAATGTGATCACATACAGTAAGTCTAAATTGGGTTGTTTGGATTGATAGAGACCAAAAAAAAAAATAATGCATATGAAGAATATCTGCAACTAGCGTTGGTTTGCTAAAAATTTGTTTGATGTTCCTTGACAGCAGTCATAGTATTTAGAATTGAATACAATACATGCTAACACCTCATGGGCTTGTATATATTCTTCATGAAAGATACAGTACATTTCCTTAATTTATGCCAGATCTGACAAATGAGATTAGATTACCATCCTTAACATCAAAAGGACAGGACACTTTATGCAATTTCCCCCATGAATTTAGTAACCAGTTACAGGCAGAATGAAAAACTTTTGTCCCTTAGCCAAGGAAAATGTCATCAGTAGCATGATAATATATTTTTTCTTTTGTTCCAGAGAGAGAGCGTGAGCTTTGTGTTCGAGAGCGACTGGCAGAAGACAAACTTGCTAGGTTTGTTCTTAAATGCCAAAACATCTTACTTTGATACATTTTGTGGCACCTTAAAGATCGTGGCACCTTATGCTCCTTGACTTTTATGTACTAAAGTTTATTTCCTCGGATGCATGGGCCATGGTTCTTAGTTGCGGATATATATGATACAAAACTTGCTGCTAAATGCATTCTATAGCTATTTACGTTTAACATATTTTCTTTGCACCGTGTGTATATATGTCCCTAGGAACTGGAAATCGCATCCCAGTCTGCTGAAATAGTGGGCTGTAGTCCACAAAATCTTACTGCATAATAAAAACTGTTAGTCCTTAAGGTGCCACAAGAGCCTGTTTTGCTTCAGCCAACTAACAAGGTGATTCCTCTGGAAATATTTGATAGAAGTATTGCTCTTTGCTAACTGATTCCTTTCTAAACAGGGCTGAGAACTTGATGAAGAATTACAACTTATTCAAGGACAAGAGACTATTGATGCCAGCCAGTAGCCCAGGTAGGAGACGATATGGGAGGCTCCTACTGGACTATTAAATCAGGACAGTGGTTGCCCTGAGCCTTATCACTGGTGACTATGTTTGTGGTAGATGTCCATACAGGTCCTCTGTCATTCCAGGATATTAAATATCAGCAGCAACCTGGAATCAACTTTGATATGTAAGCTATACAGAAGCCAAATCACATGTAGAATGAAGATGCTCATTGTGATGACATCTGTGCAGTCTAGTAGTAAATATTGGATACCTTAAGGATGATAATGCTCCTCGCTTGCATAGCACTTCATGACATGGAAAAAATATTTTGCCCTTCAGCATAGTGGAATGAAGATTTGGCTCCATTCAGATTTTGTTTGCTTGTACTCCTTGGTTTAGATTGCACTGACACCTAGCTGAGAGACTTAAGTGAATGTGTTTTGCTACTCATTTATCCTATTCCAATACCGGACTTGTGTGTGTACACTTTTACTTCAGTCTCTTTACATGTTTAAAATGTTGAGCAATTTTTGATTTTTACTTTTGTGAAGGCTAAAATGAGCACATAATAAAATATATTTTACTATTTATTTTTAAAATGTGATTTAGGACCTCTGTGATGGTGTCTTAATAATCATTATATCTTCACCCCTGAAATTCTTTAGAATGTGCTCCTGCCTTGTTTGGTGCTTATCTAAACCATGAAGTTTTTTTTAACAAAGTCTGCACAAAAGGAAGCTAAAGCTTAACAGCTTTACTAAGATCACATACAATCATCCCAGAGTGCAGGACACACAACAGTGGGCTCGTTACAGGAAGTTAAATTTTGTTTGAATATCAGAAAAAACTTCCTAACTGTTAGAGCAGTATAACAGTACAACGAATTAGCTTGAGAGCTGGCGAGTGCTCCAACCCAGGAGGCATTAAACAAAAACAACCACCTAGCAGATATCCTTTGATTTGTATTCCTGCATCAAGCAGGGGGTTGGAGTTGATGGTCTTATAGGCCTCTTCCAACTTCACTATTCTATGATATATCTTGTGCAATATATACTAATACTGTTATGTGTTAAGTCATTTCCAACTTACGGCAACCCGTACAAGAATTTGAGATGTCCAAGGAGTGGTTTGCTACAGTCCTTCGCCAGAGGGTTTTCATGGCCAAATGGGAGTATAAACCCGAGTCTAATCCAACATTGTATCCGCTGCACCACACTGGCATTTATATGCTACTATGCCTTGCTTTAAAACATTGCAGTACAACTACTTGCCAAGTTGAGATACTTTGACCAAGATGCTATTGTCAATTTACACTTAAATAAGGGAAATTGTTAAGTCTTGGCAGCAATGGCTGGTCATCAACAAAGTGTTGTTTGTATTCTTTGGTATGAGCCCGGCCAGGAACTCAACCAGCACCTCATTAATTTGCTTGCAAGGTTTATGTTGTTTTCTTTACTCTGGTATAAATTGGCAGTAAGATTCTTACAAAAATTGTTGCATTTAGATTCTGTTCAGTGTTCTAGCCAATGGAACTTCCAAATTATAGAGTGCTAGTATTGTAGAAATTAATGGTGCTCAACCTTTGGTCCTTCTGGTGTTTTCAACTTCAGCTCCCAGTATCCCTAATGCAAACTGGAGTTTCTAGATGAAGTTGAAACCAGCAGGAAAACCTGAGGTGGATAACTGTATATCAGGGATTTATATTTATGCTTAATAAGAATATAAGAAGCTGCTTTATATCAGGTCATATGGTCAATCTGTCTAGTCCATTATTATCAATTTAGCCTAGCAATAACTCTTCAAGATTTCAGGCTGGAATTTTTCCAACCCTGCATGGAGATATCAAGACTTATACTGAAGACTTTCTGCAGATGTAGTAATAAATTTAGACATCGAGTGCTCATCATGATGGTTTTACTGGCCACCATGCCCTCACCCCACAAGGAGAGTCCAAAAATGCAAGCACTTAGGTCAGTCCATATCAATGAGTGAGGAGCACCTCTTGTAAAGTTAAGATTCGTCATTGCCCTTTTAAGATAAAACTGGTCTCAAATATATTAAGAAAGGAAAAGCTACTGTGAGAATTCTATCTCAGGAGGATGGCAGATCACATTATAGTTCCTGCTACTCAGAATGTGCCAAGGCTTTGGCCTTGCAAGCCCCCGGCTTTCTTGAACTTCTACCTTCATATATCATGTGTTTTGCCACTGAACTCTACAGCCTAACAAATGGTGAAACAGCATAGAAGCTGCTACATTAGAAGCAGTTTGTGAAAGTGAACTTCTCCACTCTTTAGAGCAGAATGAAATTTCTCCTAACATTTTATTTCACAGCTTTACTAACAAGATGTTTTAGATATATTGGTTACTTATACCTGCTCAAGTATCAGTGTAAATCTTAGCTATCAATCAATGTAGAGATTTGCTGGTGCACACCAGCCTTATGTCTTAGTGTGCAACAGAAAATACCTATGCTGACTTCGTGATGTGTTTTCACTTGAAATTTATACTGATAGACGTATCCTGGTATGCATGGGGTTTAAAGACTATGGGAAAATTATCTTCTGCACCTGCTGTGGGTTCCAAACTTTTGAATAGAAATCTAGGTCAGTAGATAATAAGGTGCCTTATATTAAATTGAACCATCATGTAGCTCAGTCCTGTTAGCTTTGATAGACAGCAGTGCTCCAGGCACTCATGTAGCATATCTTCTCATCTGGAGATAATACGAGTGGAACCAGGGACTCTGCTCCAACACAAAGTTCTGGCTCCTTTCAGGTATAGCACTCCATATTTCTCCTGAACGTTCATGAAAGTACTAAGCTCACTTGACCCAGATTAGCTTTCAAAATCAATCTGTTTAGGGTGGAATGCTGGTCACCTGTATTGTATGGCCTTCCCACAACCAAAGCTTGGGGGCTGTCTTGTATGGCCTTCCCACAACCAAAGCTTGGGGGCTGTCTTTTATTTCTGAATTTCATTTGTCTTCTCCCCTTGCCTCTTTCTCATTTCTTCTCCCTTCTTGCTTTTCAAAATATGATCAAAGAAACAACACTGGTGGTATAGCTACAGCACCATCTTTCAGATTACATCCCATCAACTGACAAACAGCAATAATGTTGACTCTTAATTTAGGTGTGCCTTTTAGTCAGAGGCTATCAGTGGTCCAGCTGTTGTACACCTGCTCCCATTTCCTTCTCATTAGTAATCACTGCAGATTTGCTTCTTTCCTTGGGCCTAATCTATACAGTTTTCCAGAGGGAGACAACAAGGCACATGGTGACCTCTCTTCTTTCTCATGGCTTGCTCAAGTAAGAACGGCAGGTGAGCAGGCAGTATCACTACGCCATCCCCTTGGCATGGGCTGTGGCCTATACGCTCCAGTTCTGCTGTCTGTCAGTGGTTGTGGCCCACATGCAATAAAGCTGCTTCCAAAGACGTCTGTTGATGAGATGCTGTATTCCTGCATCTAAGGATTGTCTTTTACCAGTACTTGTTCTGAAGCCTGATTTCACCTACTGGGCAGTAGGCGTGGGAACAGATTTCTGTCTTACGTTACATGAACTGTTGGGTAATAAAGTCAATGTTAACTCCAAGCAGTACTGTTCTTAATGTGTAGGAGAGAGACTGAATCCTGGAGATTCCTGGATTTTGAACAGAGGTTCCAAAAATGGAACAGCATCTAGACTTCCACAGGTTGGGAAACACTGCTAATGAGTCTGACTTCAGCCAACGAGACTTAAGTTCAGATATATGTTGAGGCACAGAATGTGCTGGGCAATGGTTAATGGCTCATCATCTCTCCACTCAGTCTGCCCCACAGAATGATTGTGAAGATGAATTTGTTGCGAGGGAGGGTAAAAGTGTAGGCAGCCAGCCTCTTGACCATTTATTGACCTGCCAGGGCATGATAGCTCCACTTTCTGTGAACACCACTGTTACACAGTCTCCAGCCTCTATGAAGAACACACACACACACCACTTTCCCAGTGGCAAACTGCACCGCGGGCAGGTCTTTTCATTCAGTAGAAACTCAATCCCTTCCTTCTATTACAATGTACTTTCTGGGCATTGGATAATGCTTTAGTTTTTACAGCATGACCAATTAGATAATGCTGTGATTTTTAAACATTAGCTGGTTAGTATACAGTTTAAAATAGCAAAAGCAACAAGAAAGCTCAAACTACTACTGTATCTCTTGACCTGGTGCAATTTATCAGATGTGCACACTTGCCAGTGTCCTGTGCGTAATCCATTACCATACCATGGTCTTAGCTACTTTATATTCATATGTATGTGTTACACTCTTTTGGCACTGGGTATGAACTGAGTGCTCTCAGGTTAATTTAGTTTTGCAACATTTGAACAGTACAGAAGCTATATTCTCCCACATAAGCCCAAACTGTTCATGTGAATTCAGCTTGGTAGGTGTGCTTACCCCAGCTATGCCATGAGAGGAAACGAATGGGAAGATTACATTTCCATGAACAATTTCTTATAAGGAGCATAAGAGTCATGGGGACTTCCACATAATTTTCAGGATATTCTTCTGAAGGAATGAAAATGTGCAACCTATCCTGGAGACCAGGGTTCGAATCCCCACTTGGCCATGGAAACTCACGGGGGGGAGTGAGCTGGTGAAATCACTCCTTAAGTACCACCCTTACCTTGAAAGACCGATTAGGGTTGCTATAAGTCAGTTCTAAGCTGACGGCACAGAACAACAGTGCTATAAACCAGAATGTAAAACAAGTGGGGGAGAGGAAAATACACTAACTTTTAGAGAGACAGAAACAGTATTTGAATTTTATTTTATTTTTCTTTTTAAGATGATATGCTGCCAGCCTTTCCAACAAGAAAAAAGAAGGTCCAGTTTGGTGATGAAAGTAAAGAAAATGCTCATTCTGTAGACAGCCTGGAGGATTTTCCCCTTATGAAAGAAAAAGACTGTAACCTGAAGAAGCGCCTCTATGCTGCTAACCTGCGTGCTCAAGCCCTGTCTGAACTAGAAAAGCATTATCAACTTAAAAGCCGGCAGCTCCTTGGCATGCGTTGAAAGCATGCACATTCTGTATATAGATGTTTTTATACTGTCAGTTTAGGTTGTTTCTTCTAATGTTTATAGAGAAAGGCTGTGTGGGGCATTTTTAAGAAATGTACTAAAATATTTTAAACTTTGTGTGAAAAAAATAGTTTGATAGTAGATATTTGGCTGTCTTCTCGAGAAGTTTGTATTCTTTCCTGCTTGGCTTGCTAGTGCTGTACAGACAAACTAAAGTTGTTGAAATACTCAACATTCATGAAGAAAGTGGATGGATGTATACATTTTTATGATGATGATGATGTTTTAACAGAGAAAATAGTAAGACACATAATGTTTATAAAATAACTATACAAAAAAGTCTTTAAATATTTGGAAAACAACAACACCCATCATCCCTGACAGTGGGCCATGCTCATTGAGCTGACTTTAGGGTATACAGGTTTTCCATCCCAGCTCTATGTGCATATTATTGGACCTAGTACTATATTTATCCCTTCCCTATGAATCATTACAGAATGTGGATTGTGCCCATTAGCAGTTCACTGAAAAATTTATGCATTGATTAATAGAAAAAAATGAACATGTAGAATAGGATTTGAATTGAAATTATCTTTAATGTGTTCTTAGACAATGTCCTCTGCCCCAGTTTAATTTGATTGTGTTTTATCAAAAATTAAAAACTGGTTGAAAAAAGATGCGGGAAATTATTTTCAGGCAGTTTGTATTTAAGGGTGATTTCTCATCAGAAACTGTGTACATTATGTAAAAACTGAAGTCACCGTTCAAAGGTGACTGTGTGAATGTTTATGTGTATGTAAATTCTCATATCTGAAAGAAGCCCATAAATGTTCCCTTCATGGAGATAAATTAACTTCAGGGAGTATATATTTGCACTGTTTACATGGAGCACTGTTTCACAGTATATGGTAAATTTATGAAGCCGTTCTTATACTGAATGAGTTTTTGTCTTTCAAATCCAGAGCTTTGGTTAGAGGTTACACAGCTATGATGTCTATTCTTGTTCTTTGCATCTCCTAATTCTCCAGTGGCCTGAAGATGGTGCACCTGTTCTGTCAGTCTGATGAAACAGCTACTACAGACAGGCAATATTCAGGAATTTGGAGCTGACTTCTCAGTACCAAACACATTTACTGTACTTCTATCAAGTCTGCTGTTACATGATTTGGTACAGTCGTTCTTTAAACTATAGACTTCTCTTACATTTTTATGGAATCATGGCTTTGTTACAAATGCTACTTAACTACCTGACTTGTACCATTCTGACTTGTGGCAACCCCTTCCAGGGTTTTCTAGGCATAGTGCACTCAGAAGTGGTTTTTTGTTTTCAAGGCATCCTGGGATTGTACAGCTTGCCCAAGTCCACACAGGCTGGCTCTTCGACCTCCACAAAATAAATAAATCTGAACAAGTAAGCTACATACTGTCACAATTCTAGGTGGCCCCTGATTATTTCACCAAACTAGGAGACCTCCACAAAATAAATAAATCTGAATAAGTAAGCTACATATTGTCACAATTCCAGGTGGTCCCTGATTATTTCACCAAACTAGGAGCTTATGCTACGTGCCTCTCAGCTGCCACGAGTTAATTTAATCAACAATACCTATAATAGATGTCCAGACCATATGCCATTTTAAAAGAACCAGATAGAAATTGTTTATTGATATAGGTGTTGACAGCAATGTGGTTAACTCTTAAACAAACATTCTTCTTTATCCACCCTCAACCACCATTTTCCCACCCGAACTACACAACTGTCTAACTCAAAGGTCCCCAGCCCCTGGTCCGCGACCCACCAGCGGTCCATGACCTATGCAGGATTGGACCATGGACACAGATTTCCTAACCCCCTGCAAGCGCCCTCACACACATGTGCATGAGCGCATTCCACCCCCTGCAAGCGTGCTGTCTGCATGTGTGCAAGTGCCCCCCGCAAATGTGACATGTGCGTGAGCTAGCTCCGCCCCCTGCGGGCATGCCACGCACCCCCCAACTGGTCTGCGGTTGGGAAAAGGTTGGGGACCACTGCTCTAACTAACACTAAAACTCCATCTTAAAACCCTATCTCTATAAACCCCTACTGCTGAGTCTCTTATACCTTGTGACTCCGCGCCTCCAGCACTCCCATTGGTCTATGCAAATAGCATATGAATACTGTATTCCTGACCTGGGTGAATGCCACACATAGCATGAAAACCTTTGCCAAATAAAATGTTTTAGTTGTTAAGGTGCCACACAAATTTGTCGGGTTTTCTATTTGTGTTTTTCCAATAGATTAACATAAATGTCTCACATATTTTTGCAAGACAAGGAAGGTAGGCATAGAAAACATTCATTCTCAGAATCAACAGGACTGTGCCTTCCAGAATACTCCTGCCAGCACAACAACTGGGTATTTCTAGTAAACTTTTTGCAGTTTTGCCCAAAGCATCCGGAACATGCTAGCACTTGAGGTATATGCGTAGGTCGTTTCAAAAGCCATTTGTTGTGATGCAGATTATTGGGAGTCAATTTAATTTTTAACAAAGAAAGGGCAACATATAAAATTGAGTATTAAAGAACATTGATAAAACAAAGCTCAACTCCTAAGGACAGTGGTTTGGCTTTCTGTTCCTCTTCCACCAGTGACACTCAAACTGCAGCAAAGTAAGCACAACAGTCACATGCCAGTCATAGCTTCCCATTTATTGTACACAGTACTGAGAAACCATGATTATTTTTTCCTCACATGCCCCCTGAAAATGCCTGTTCTATTGATATTTTCCATAGTACTGTTGTTCTGGATACAGTTGTTTCAACTGGTGAGTTCAAATGCATGTTTAGCTTTTTTGCTGAAAAGGATCAGTTTTGTTTTGTGTAAGTGTGTGTGTGTCATCCTTTCCTACAAAGGACCTCATCTGGTGGACAGCAAAGTAAAATACTGTACATAATCACAATTAACTCACAGGACTAGATTATACCCACAAAACCTGAGTGAACAAATACGTTTTTAATTGTCTAATGCCACAGAGACCAACCACAATGTCCCAGGGAGGGGGCATAGGCCTCTTTCTCTCTGAAGTAGCAAAAGTGCCATTTCAGAATTGTGAATACAGTATATTAAATAAAAATGACAACCGAAGTGAAACTTGATGTCAGAGGTCAAGCTAAATGATACATATTTTTAAAGAAGGCTTCCCCAGGTAATGAAGGATATCTGCCTATCACCCCATAAAATTTTATTTACTTATGTATCTTCCACTTAGCATGTTTTGTTTCATGGCTTATCTTTCATGGCTTATTTAACAGTGGCTAACTGTTTAACAGTGCATAGATCCCACTGTGGCAGAGAAAACATTAATCTTTGACACTACACACTAGGTACCCCTAGTTTGACCCAGAGAAAAGGCTTCTGTCTTAGCTGCTCCACTTATTTGCTAATTTTTTCCCTAAAAATAATTTAGTGAAATGATTTCTAGGAATAGCAGACCACCACCATTTTCCAGTCACCTTTTCCCTCATACTCTGTCATTGCTTTTTATGTCTGAAATGTAATCTCACAGGTGTTAATGATGACTAAGGGTGTGATTTATACCTATCTATTCAGAAGGAAGTCTTACAGGATTTAACTGGGTAAAATGCAAATTTTGGGGCCACATCTCACAGCAAGGGATTCTGAGAGCTGGGTTCCAAAAAATAATCTTACTAAATTCTCAGAAAGTGAATATAGGACTGTCTAAATCCTGTAAATTTAAACCTAATCCTGGGTAAACTTGCATGTAAATGCCATTGTACTGAATGATGTGTATATCTGAGTAACCTTTCAGTGCGGTGTAGAGGAGAGTGGTGGACTAGGACTCAGGAGACCCGAGTTTGAATCTTCACTCAGCCATGGAAACTGTCTGCATGGTGGTGGTAGCGGTATTGGTAAAACTACTCCCTATATCTCATTTTCCTTGAAAGCTCCCTTAGGATTGTTATATGTCAGTTCTGGCTTGATAGCCCAAACCATGCAACCTTCACAGGACTTGGAGGCGCTGATTTCAGAAGGACCTGATGCTCTGCATGTTTATGATTTATATCAAAGTAAGTTCCGAAGTCTTCTCTTCTCAAATGGGTATACAATGGATTGCAACTTTCCCCCCCCCGGTGAACATTTCCTTGAGTATCTCCTTTGCACACAATTTGTTTTAAAGCATTGAAATGTCTAATTCATCCCCAGAAGGAAATGCAGACCTGGCTTGCCGTTAAAATGTAACTGCTAAATGCAACCCCATCTTAATAAAAGTAAAAACTTTTATTTATCAATCATACAATCCTATTGTATGTGTACTACAAAGTTGCGGGGGGGAGGGAGGGAGAGACCACTCTCACAAGCAGTCATGCGCAAGCCAGCCTACCTGCGCTAGATGGAAAATGTGCATTTTTGTCATTGTCTTAGGATGGAATCAGCTCCACGGGGTGATGGCAGCGGCCCTTGGCATATCTACATTGCAAGCTAGCGGGTGTACAGTGGACCCTTGACTTATGGAATTAATCCATATTGGAACGGTGGCTGCAGGTCAAAAAGTCTGTAGGTCAAGTCTCCATTGACCTACAGTGCATTGAAAACCGATTAATCCCGTAACAGGCCGTTTTTGTTCCATTTTGGGTTTTTTCTGGTCTGTAAGTCAATTCTCAGGCTGCAAGTCAAACCTAAATTTTGTGGCCAGAAAAGTCTGTAACTCAAAAAGTCTGTAAGTCAAGCCATCTGTAAGTCAAGGGTCCACTGTACTCAGCTTCCTCACGTCAGGGAAGCAGTTGCTTAACAGACAGGAAGCCACAAGGGGAAAGTCATTTCACAGCTGCCTTATGCATGTAGTTTTTGGGCACTGTGTTTAATGGGGCTTTTTTTGTTATGTGCTGCCAAGCCAGAACTGATACCATATAGCAGTCCTTATATAGAGCTTTCAAGTGGTTTTGTTTAGGTATCTGGCTGTGGAGCCAGAGATTGGGGTTCAAATCCCCACTGTGTGTCCCAGAGGAAGAGCCAGCCTGAGTAGCCTTGGGCAAGCTGCACAGTCCCAAGGCACCTCTGGAAAAACAGAATTGCGAACTCCTTCTGAGTAGTCTATACCTGGAAAACCCTGAATAGGTTTGCCCTAAGCCAAAATCAACTGGATAACACATAATGATTATATTTCTCAGTTCCACCCTCCCAGTGAATTTTGATGGCTGTGTTGGGATTTAAACCCAGGTCTTTACAATTCTGGACTATCAACTCTATCCATTACATGAGACTGGGTATCTTAATATTACTGGGACTTTACCCTGGGACAACATAGTCACACAGCAAGGAGAACTTACAGCAGTTCTATGCATATTACTTCCAGATCGGCAATTCCTAGCCCTACCAATTAAAAAAATAATTGCGTATCTCTTCTATGGCCCCTCTACAAAAGATTTGTGTGTGTGCACATGCATGTGCATGTGAATAAAATAATAATATGTGGGAAAATATGAAGTTACAAATGGAAGAAAATATTGAGCCCTTTCTACAATTATCTCTCTGAGACAGGGCAATTATACAGTCAAAGCGCCTTCTCGGAGGTCCTTTAATTGTACTGTGTTCTATACAGTCATTTGCTCCAATATTAGTTTTGTGACAACATCTCCCATTATTCTTTATCACTGACCGTGCTGGCTGTGGCTGATGGGAGATGTAATTTAGCTACAGCTGGAAGACTACAAACTGCCAATCTTGGTTCAGGTCACTTAAAGATACTGTCAGGGATTAAATATTATTTTTTACAACTGCACAACAGCTGATAGATTTATGTTAATCCTGCACTCACACCATATATCATCTATGCTGCTTTGTCATTTAATCTTTTTTGCTCAAGAAGTTACTCTGATAATGACCAAGTCTTGCCTGTGTCTGACACAGTATGGTGCAGAAGGATAAAGGGCACCCCTGAGAATTTCTTTGACTTAATCCTGGTTATGATCTCCGCAGAGCCGTTCTCTGTAACCATCAGCAACAGGTTCATGTCACAAAAATATGGATCCAAGTTTGAAGAGGGTGGAATTTGGAGTGCTCGTGATTTCAGGGTTGCCCCAGTGGCTGTTTGTAGCTGCACAAAGCTACACTAAGTCAGCAGCACGCTTCCCTATCAGCACCCAATGAAACTGAATGAACACTGATTTATAAGCCTAGCACTGACTGGGCTCTTCCCATAATTCTTGCTGTTCTTGCACATTCATTGATTACTGCACAAGATTAACTCTCGGCCCTCAAGGAATTTAGC